CATGCTATCGTTGTCTGATGACGTCATCATTGAAGTCGCTGCTGAGAAGACTGCCGCGGGCTTGTGGTTAAAGTTGGAGAGTCTGTATATGACGAAGTCCTTAACCAACAAGCTGCATCTCAAGCAACGGTTGTTCAGCTTGAGGATGCAAGAAGGTACGCCTTTGAGGGAACATCTCGAACAGCTTAACTCTATTTTGCTGGATCTGCGTAATATAGATGTTCAAGTTGATGACGAGGATGCTGCCCTAATCCTGCTGGTTTCTTTGCCGAGTTCATATGAGAATTTCGTTGATTCTTTTATTGCTGGTAAAGAAAGCGTGTCGTTGGAGGATGTCAGGTCTGCTCTTCATACGAGAGAGATCAAGCATAAGGCGTCCGGATCTGGTACAGGTGGTGAGGCATCGGGTTTGGCTGTTACAGGTGGAAAGGGAAAGAAGAAATCTGGTAAAGGGAATTCGAACAAGAATTCCAAGGTTCCCGGTCCACAACCAGGTGATGCTTGTCACAACTGTAAGGAAGTGGGGCATTGGAAGTACAACTGTCCCAAGAGAAGAGGGCAATAGAAGAAACAAGGTTCAGTTGCCGTGGCAGAAGTGGACTACAATTCTGAAGACGATCTCGCCTTGGCTGTAGATGAGAAGGCACATCGTGGTGATGTGTGGTTTCTGGATACTGCAGCCTCATACCATATGTCTCCGAACAGGGATTGCTTCACAACCTACGAGCAGATAGATGGTGGTAACGTGGTCATGGCTAATGGAGCTGTCTGCAAGGTTGTTGGAATCGGGTCCATAAAGGTTCGGACACATGATGGTTCGTTCTGTACCGTGAATGATGTCAGGCATGTTTCACGAATGACAAAGAACCTGATCTCCTTGAGTCTACTCGACAGCAAGGGTTTCACTTTCAAAGGAAAAAGTGGAGTTGTGTATGTCTGCAAAGGTTCAAGGAAGGTGCTGAAGGGCGTGAAGCGTGGGACCTTGTATGCATTACAAGGGTCTGTGTTGTCTGGTTCTGCTGCAGTTGCATCGTCTCAGGTTCATCAGGAAGATATGACCACTCTCTGGCACATGAGACTGTGGCATATGAGTGAACGGGGGATGCAAGTTCTGTCGAAGAGGGATCTTCTTTGCGGGCACAAGATGCAGAATTTGGACTTCTGCGAGCATTGTGTATTTGGGAAGCTACATCGCAGCAAGTTTCCCAAGAAGGGTATCCACCGGACGAAGGGGATACTGGATTACCTCCACTCGGACTGTTGGGGTCCTTCACGAGTTGAATCCATTGGAGGCAGCAGGTATTTTCTGTCTATTATTGATGATTATTCGAGATTTACTTGGATTTTAATGATGAAGCAGAAAAGTGAGGCTTTCACGAAGTTCAAGCAGTGGAAGACATTGGTGGAGAATCAGACCGGGAAGAAGATCAAGAAGCTGCGAACGGACAATGGTCTGGAGTTCTGTAATTCTGAGTTCAACGAATTCTGCAAGGATGAAGGGATTGCCCGTCATCAGACTGTGAGAGATACACCCCAGCAGAATGGCGTTGCAGAAAGGATGAACCAGACATTGTTGGAGAGAGCACGGTGCATGCTCTCTAATGTTGGACTAGAGGGAAGATTCTGGGCAGAAGTAGTGAACATGGCGTGCTTCCTGATCAACCGTGGACCTCACACAAGTATCGAGTTGAAGACTCCTTATGAGGTGTGGTATGGTAGGCCTGCTGATTACTCTTCAGTGAAAGTTTTTGGGTGTCCTGTTTATTATCATGTGGATGAGGGTAAACTGAACCCAAGGGCAAAGAAGGGTGTATTTGTGGGTTACGGAGATGAATTTAAGGGATTTCGAGTCTGGTCACCTTCTGAGCATCGAGTTATACTCAGTAGAAATGTTATATTTGATGAGAAGTCTATGTTTAACCCCATGTTGAAGGTAACTGTTGTTGAAGGTAGCAGGAATGTTGATAAGCAGGTGGAGCTGCAAACTCTCAATGAGAGTGAGTTTGAGCACCAAGGTGGAGAAGATCAACATGAGGATGTTTCTACAGAGCCAGACACTTCAAAGTCCAGTGCACGAGCTCAACAGCTATAGCTTCCGGTAGACCAAAGAGAGCGACTGCAGGAGTACCTCCACAGAGGTATGGCTTCGAGGACATGGTGGCGTATTCATTTCAGGTTGCTGAAGAAGTGGATGCAGGAGAGCCACAGTCCTATAGAGAAGCAGTTTCGGGTGGTGAAGCTGATCAGTGGCTTGCCGCAATGGGAGATGAGATGGAATCCCATGACAGGAATCAGACTTGGGAGCTAGTCAAACGACCACAGGGAAGGAAGATTGTTACAAACAAGTGGATCTACAAGAAGAAGGAAGGAATCACTTCTAAAGAGGGCATGGAATTTAAAGCTTGGGTGGTTGCACGAGGCTTCTCGCAGAGGTAAGGAGTTGACTACAATGAGATTTTTCACCAGTGGTCAGACATACTTCGATCAGAGTGCTACTATCAATAGTGGCACATTATGACTTGGAGCTCGAGCAGCTAGACGTGAAGACAGCTTTCCTACATGGAGAGTTGGAGGAAGAAATTTACATGACTCAGCCAGAAGGATTCGAGGTTCCGGGAAAAGAAGACTATGTTTGTAAGTTGAAGAAGTCCTTGTATGGACTTAAGCAGTCTCCGAGGCAGTGGTACAAGAGATTTGACAGTTACATGCTTGAGCTGGGTACAGCAGAAGTCCATATGATTGTTGTGTGTATCACAACAAGGTGGAGGATGGTTCGATGATCTATCTTGTTCTGTATGTGGATGATATGCTCATAGCTGCGAGGTCGAAGTCTGATATCCTGAAGTTAAAGGGGCTTCTCAGTGCTGAGTTTGAGATGAAGGATTTGGGAGCTGCTCAGAAGATCTTGGGTATGGAGATTTACAGGGACAGGTCGAAGAATAAGCTTTTCTTGTCACAGAAGAGCTACATCCAGAAGATACTGTCAAGGTTTGGCATGTCTTCAGCAAAGCCCTTAAATACTCCCAGTGCTTCAAATGTTCATCTATCCTCAGCTTATGCACCGCATTCAGAGGCTGAGAAGGAGTACATGTCGAGAGTCCCATATGCTAGTGCAGTAGGTAGCTTGATGTACGCTATGGTATGCACTAGACCTGATCTTGCACATGTTGTTAGTGTTGTCAACAGGTTTATGATACAACCTGGGAAGGAGCATTGGCAGGCTGTGAAGAGGATCTTCCGGTACCTTAAGGGTACACCTGATGTGGGGATTAGCTTCAGAAGTGATACAGAGTGCTTGGTGTCTGGGTATTCTGACTCGGACTATGCTGGAGATGTTGACACGAGGAGATCGATGACCGGTTATGTATTCACTCTTGGGAGTTCTGTAGTGAGCTGGAAGGCAACTTTGCAGTCGGCGGTGACATTGTCTACTACTGAGGCAGAGTATATGGCGTTGACAGAAGCTGCTGAGGAGGGAATATGGTTGAAGGGACTGGTTGGTGATCTTGGTCTACATCATGATCAGGCAGTGGTGTATTGCGACAGTTTGAGTGCAATATGCTTGGCCAAGGATCAAGTCCACCATGAGAGGACTAAGCACATCGACGTGAGGTATCATTTCTTGAGGACAGAGAAGAGGATTAAGGTGAAGAAGGTTGGCACCGCGGATAATCCTGCTGATATGTTCACGAAGCCGGTTCCACATGGCAAGTTCCAACACTGCTTGGACTTGCTGAATGTCTTGAGTGGGTGACTCCGCCCTGCGGGGCATTGATGGCGGGAGAGAGAGAGAGAGAGAAGGAGCAGAGTACATCAGGATTTCAGAGGAAGAGGATTCAAGTCAAGGTGGAGATTTGTTAATGTGTGGGCTCAATGTTATTTGGGTTCGGGTTCTGGGCCTGGTCTATAACCGTTTCCTTTGCCAGATTGGATTAGGTTTAGACCCACATAGAGAAGTACTATAAATACTTCTCATACTCCTCTGTAATCTGTAATCTCCTCGATATAGTGAAATTGGCTGTCTCTCGCCCGTGGACGTAGCTAACACACATCGTGTTAGTGAACCACGTAAATCGTGTGTCGTGTTTTTCGATTCTCGCTTTCGTATTCTTGCTTTGTCGATTCCTGCGATTTCCCGATCCATAGCAGTGCGTTTATAACAGACGACCTAAGATTATGGTAGCGGAATATCATGTGGCTAGTGGAAAAGTCGACAAGGCTTGTTTTTTTTTAATGGATGATGAGACTCAATATTATTATCAAATCGAAATAAAAAGAAAAAAATATATCCAAGACCACAAAAAGGCAAAAAAAAAACCACACAAATGTGGGTTAAAAACAAGAAGAAAAAAAGAGGAAAAGTTGGTTCGTACCTGGCTATACCAGCTCAAATCTATATCTCGATCAGCCTAATTTATCTGGTACTTGTTCCTATGAATTTTCTAAATACTAACTATCAAATTGTATCGATTTGATATTTAGGGATCGTTTGAAAGTTGCGATTGTTAAATAGATGTATTGTTGAGAATGCATGTATAATATTATATATGTATTGTCGAATTTGATGCATTGTAGAATACAACGTTTGGTATGTGTGATTGTGTATGTCGCATCAGCTAAAAGCTGAGACAAAACAATCTCAACTCAACTATCTCAACAATCACAACTAAAAGTTGAGATATAACAATCACTCAAAATGAGTGATAGTTTCTGTCACATCACATAAATAATCCATGATTCTGATTCGGGTATTGTTTCTGCTAAACGACCCCTTAAACCGGATTGAATATATCAATGTCCTGATTCGGGTCTGATCCAGTCAGAACGTTTGCACAGCTTCGTGGTCAGCCCTTCAAGCAGCTTTCATTCCTCTCTCTGATACCCCTAAATCAGAGTCAAGATTCCCGTCTATTGGTTGAAACAGTAACTAGGGAGCCTCTCTAGACAGTGATAGCATATTCCGATTGATCGATACCGCCCCAGCCACTGAAAATGCATTACGTACAGTACATACAAAAAGAAAAGAAAAACTGCATGCCAGCCTGATTCTCCTCTGCTTTACATCTCAAAGGAACTGATTCCCTTCTCTTTCTCTGAAATTTCCTTTACTTTAACGATCAAAAGAAGATTCCCCCATTATGACAAATTCTGAAAGCCAGAGCCCTGTAAATTGCACAATGGCTGCTGCTGTTATATATCAGCTAAGAAATTAGCAAGCTAGAGGTACAGGAGAAGACGATCGAGGGGCCGTCCGGTGATGTCAAGCAGTAGCTCCAGGCAGACCATTGAAGTCATTACAACAGAAGAAGCTCCACTGAAATGGAGCGTTGCTTTGAGAGAAGAAGTTTTCAAGAGGTTTCTTCTGGGACAGGGGACGTCAAATACTACTACTACTACTACTTTGAAGAAGAGGGTATTCGGCGAGGGCTCAATTTTCAGTCCCCTGTTGTTTGGCAAGTTCTTCGATCCTTCTGACGCCTTCCCACTATGGGAATTCGAGTCCGAGGTGTTGCTCGCCGCCCTCCGGAGCTCCGGCAAGACCACCGTTGATTGGTACCAGACCGATGAAGCCTACGTGTTAAGAGCACAACTTCCAGCGGGTAAGTCTCACTTCCCTTTTATTTTCCTCTGTTTCTCTGTTCTGTTCCTTGAAGAGATTGTATGTCTTATGCTTATGCTTATAACTAGTTATACTTAGACGATTCGAACAACAAGATCGTAATCAAGGTGATTGAGACGATGAATTCATGCAAAGAATTCAAGTTGAATTTATTGATGATGGGTTTTCATTAATTTGTGACAGTAAAAGCAGTTGCAACATCAGGAGGGAGTGGGAAGAACAGCAGTGCAGTGAAGGTGTGTGTTGAGAATGGGAAAGTGGTGGAGGTGAGTGGACAGTGGAAGCCATTGAAGGACGATCAGTCAAGCTCAAAGGCAAAGCCAGGGGACTGGAGAAGTGAGGATTGGTGGGAATATGGGTACGTGAGAAGGCTGGAACTGCCAGAGGATGCTGCTGCTGATTCGAAGCAAATGGAAGCAAACCTGATCACCAGCTGCACTACTGGTAATGAAACAACGCTTCTGCTGGAACTAAGGATTCCCAGGAAGTGCAGCAGCTTCAGTGACTGCAACAGCGACCTCCCTCTTCCTTGAACGGATTGAAGGATGATATACAGTAATTGATTCACATCTCCTTCTCCAATGGAATGAGTGTCTGTCTGATCAATTGTATGCTTGTGAAATGGCACTAGCTTCTTCCGGCAGAGAGCTAGGGGCATGCTATGATTCTTGTTAATATGTTTGTCACGTTACTGATATTCTCAACTTTTAGTGTAACTTTTTCACTCATATGGCTAGATCGATCTAAAATGGAAAGTTTTCTTTCCTACTCTCTGGTCTTTAAGATCGGAACTTGTAAGAAAAACGAAGGAAAACATTATATAATATAGGGTAGCGTTGTTAAATCAACACAAGGGGATGTAGCTCAGATGGTAGAGCGCTCGCTTAGCATGCGAGAGGTACGGGGATCGATACCCCGCATCTCCACTTTTTTCCTGCCCCCGCCTCTTCCTTTGTTGAAACGGGTTATGTGGGCTGGGCCTTTCTGCTCCTGATTTTGAGGCCGACTAACTCTAATCTATTTTGTAAACGGGCCAGCTACATCACATGCAGATAATGGGCCATCAGTTTTTTATTTTGTAACTAAGAGTAATCAATTGTCAATATATATAGGGTCTTAAGCAAGCAAGGTTGTCAAAACGGTTTATACCATTGTGACGGTTTGGCAAGTGGAATGCTACGACCGGTGGTATAACTAGTTTGTGCCGGTTCATGTCGGTATAAAAAAATGTGAAAACAATTAATATCCAATGTATTTAATCATATATAAAACATTTTTGTGGACAATTTAGTTACAATCCAACAAATATCATCAACTTTTAACTATTACATTCATAAAATGAATAATAAATTATTATTTTTATTCATTAAAATGATGTCATTTTACTTAGAATGCGTAAGTTGATCATACCGGTGGTGTCATGCTGATTTCATGACCGGCACAGGTTGAACCAGGTTCAACCGAATGACATGCCAGATAAAAAACCATAAGGGTCGAGGGCCAAAACGGAAAATATCTTATTCCGATAAAAATTCGGAACGTTACCGTTCGTTTTTTCAGTTTTGTAAAGCATAAGGAGAAGAGAAGACCTAATTCGCGAGATAAGAAAAAGCCAATCCTTTAATAAGTCAGATCTGGTAGCTTTGATGGGTCAAAAATAATAATGCAATATGAACAGATGGAGAAACAAACATATGTGTTGAGGAAGATGCAGACAAAAACACCATAATAATTTATTTCCTTCCCGAAAGGCTCCAAATAACACTGGACTGGGGAAAGGCTTTCAGTTCTCTGCCAATTAAGGACAAAAGACTGCCATGTTATGTTCTTCTTCCTCCGTCTTTCTTTTCTTATTCTTATTCTTTCTATCGTCTTGCTCCAAGTAATGAAATTGGAGGGATGAGTTCCACCTTATGGGATCCATAGATCCGCCAATTGTGCACTATAAGTAATTAGCTTCACAACAACTTGCTTTATTGGACTCACTTAATAATTAATACTTTATCAGTAGAGTTTAAGCATAACATTTACAACTTTGTAGTGTAAGTGTTCTTGAATCTTCCACAGAATTTAATTAAATACATCTTTATAACGATAATCAAATACAGTTGACATACTGCTTTAAACAAAACTTAACTACGGGCGACAACTGCTCCCTAGGTCGCGTGCTTCTCTTGCATTGACAAGACTGGGAGGAAAGAAAGAGCTCGCGGTTTGGTTTCACCTCGCGTCTCGTGCTCAATCCTTGTCGTGCCATGCTATGACTTGACCTCGTGTTGTGCCGGCTCTCATTAAACCAACTTGCTTTCTTGAAATTCTGGGGGTTAATTCCCTAAATATTGTTTTTTTTTAATTTACCACGAATATTGTGTTTTTAAAAGTATTTACAACAATATTGTGTTTTTTGATATGTCTAAAGCGCCAAAGCCTTGGACTCAGGCGCCGCCGCTGGGTGCTTTTTTAACAAAAAAAACATAGCGGCCCCGCCCCAGACTGGGGCTTTGTCGCTTTATAGAAGGTAATAGCGACGGCGCCCCAGACTGGGGCTTTATCGCTGCCATTTTGTTCCACTCCAGCACCACCCCTCACCATATATACTGCACCTTTCCTTCGGTTCTTCATCACCAAAAAACTGAAAGAAGTTCTGAAAGAAGCTCTGGTGTTGCTGTCTGGTTGCTGGGAAGATGGCTAATAACAGGTAAGAGGCGTAATTTTTTTTTTCATGTATTCATCATAATGATTTTGTCTAGTTAGTAATGTAATTAGTGAGTTTGTTTTTTATGTAGTGATTTTAGAAGATTTGAACTAGCTGTTCGGTGGCGATCAGAGAAAGTAGAAGACAATTTGGGTGTCCATTTTGTTGGTGGTCTTAGTTTCTAGATGACTATTCCATCCCGGGTGAACTATCAGAAACTTTGTGATCATCTAATTCGGAGAATACGGATTAGAGACGAAACAGTACAAGATAGTGTTGTGATTACAGGTTTCACCTACTGTCTTCCAGAATGGCAGAATGGTGTTTTATTTCATTATGCAATGCCTATTGTCGATGATGATAGCTTAAATGTGCTTTGGAATTTTATGGCACAAAATCCTTATTGTTTGGGTGCTGAGATACATGCTGAGCTCAGTGAGAATCGGGGTGGAGAGGAAGACGATGATGACGATGATGACACATGGAGCATGCCCTCCGATCATGATTATGATGATGGTGATGACGGAGATGAGGAAGACGATGAGGAGGAGGAGGAGGAGGACGACGACGACGGGGAGGGAGGAGAACAACCTAATTTTCCTCCATATTTTTACTTGCAGGGTAATGAAGAGGACGAGGAATTATCATATGCTGATTCATATGGCGTAATTCCAGGGTCTACTGTTGGTGGTTTTGATGGAGAATTCTACAAGGGGCAAATATTTCACTCGAAACAAGCTGCACAGGTGGCGATGAAACACTATGCACTACAACGCAACTTTCAGTATAACGTGGTGGAGTCGTCACCTTCAATCTGGAAGATCAGATGTTTGATGCACAAGGAGGACAAATGTCCTTGGATGGTGCGGTTTGGATGTCGAGAAATGGGAGGCGATTGGAGCGTGAGAAAGGTCGAGTTGGTGCATACTTGTAGCAGTACGACTCAACCGACGGATCATCGCCATCTTGATGTCGACGTGATATCTGAGGCCGTCAAACACTTGGTACGTGCCCAACCAAATCTGAGTGTTCTAACTGTTCAGGCCGAGTTGAAAGATAAGTTTAATATGCAAGTTACTTACAAGAAGGCTTGGTATGGGAAACAAAGAGCATTGGAGAAGTTGCATGGAAATTGGGAAGAATCCTATGATTTTTTGCAAACATTCTTGCGGGTGGTCAAGAGAAAAATGCCAACATCGGTGATTCATTGGGTAAGAGTTCCTTCGACTCAACCAGGTCATTCAATATTTCAGCGAGTATTTTGGGCTTATGGACCGAGTATAGATGGATTCAAGAATTGTCCAGGCGTTATGGTTGTTGATGGAACATTTCTTACTGGGAAGTATAAAGGAGTGCTACTCATGGCGAGCTCATTTGATGGACGGAAGAAGATTTTTCCAATTGCATTTGCCATAGTGGAGAGTGAGAATACTGATAGTTGGCCATGGTTCATAACTCACGTTCAGGGTTTGACTGATCGAAATGATGTATGCATCATCTCAGATAGACATGCAGGACTCTATGAAGCCATGAATAACATCGGAAGAAGTTGGGAGTGGAGGTGGTGCATGCGACACTATGCAAGCAATTTGCAAAGGAATACTAAAAGCAGAATTATGTATAATCAACTATTTCGAGTTGGTAAGCTTTCTTCATATAATTTTGTTACTTGTTTTCATGTAATTTTGTCATGAATTTATCTAACCCGTGTGGTGGTTTATTTTATTTTGTTAGCCGGAGAAAAACGGTTGGAGAAGTTTGATCGTCAAGTTGAGCAATTTAAGAAGGTGGCCGCTGATAGAAATATTTCATGTGATAACTGGGTGGATCAACATTAGAAATATTTCATGTCTAATCTCAGCCGCGGAATGTGGAGGATGAGGCCGATCCTGTCTCATCCCAAACTGTCCGAGCACGCGATCTGGATGATGCCACATCTGCGATGAGAAGCAGATCAACGGAACAACTGCTCAAAACGTGTGGGACTGGGGCACAATACCGCTATAGTCCTGACCTCTATCATAGTACGGACGCCACTGCACACAAGGATTGGTCACATAATTACTCCTAAATCTATGACAAATCAATTAAAACTATTATATAAAACGAAATGATATATACTAACCACGAATGTCGTGCACTCGTCAAACCACAGCTTGTACAAGTAGAACTGATCTCCATGCTGACGGGTGTGGGCCGGAAGCCACCGAAGGCCACGTGGCACTGCGTCCTGAGTAATCTGCTCACCCGTCACCGCATGTAGTGGTGATGTATGAGGAAACCGCTCCCACGTCCAGATCATCAGCAAGGCGGCCCATCCACCAAAGTCACCACCCAGTGAAGAAGATGCTGTCATCTGCAGCGCCGATCTACCCATCTCACGGTACAAGTACGACAACACAGTTGCTCCCCAAGCAAACCTCCCCGCTCTGTGCCAATCCTCCACCAAAAGTAGGTACTGTAGGTGGACTGAACCTCCAGACCGATCGGAGAACAAGACACCTCCCATCAGAGATAGCGCATACGCTCTTGCAAACTGCTCTGTCGTCTGGGGTGATGCAGAAAGCGGCAGCTCATCGAAAGTCTCCCTCAGCCAAGAAATCCGGATGACGCCGCCACCAAGATCAGTAGCAGCCTGTCCTAACAGTCGAAGACACATACCCGACCAGTCCTCGTCGGGTATGTCTACTACGACGGCATCACCGTCGATCGCTAATCCGGTGAGTGTCGCAACGTCCTCTAGGGTGATCGTCACCTCACCGAACGGCATGTGAAATGTCGATGTCTCGGGTCGCCAACGCTCTACGAGCGCAGTAATCAAACCCGGATCACCGGTAAGAGGAGCTAGTGGCAGAACACTAGACAGGCCGGCATCAACGAGATACGGCAGGTACAGTGGATTGAATCGGACTAAATTTCCAGTATGACGAATGTGGAATGGTCGATCACCAACCTATAATTAATGCACAAAACTATATTGATTCAATTCCTTCAATTCACCTAATATTATATTTATATATCTAAACTAAACTTTTTCTAATATAATATAATCGTAACTTAATCTAATTCTATTCCTAATTTAATTTAATTCCAATCGTAATTTAATTTAATTCTATTCTATCATATTATTCAGCTAATAAAACTATAGAAATAGTTTGAAAAACTTACCTCATTCGCCCAAACTGCGTCAATCCGATGGTGACCATGCCCCCAAAGAAGGTTCGGATCCATCGGAGCAGTATCGATCGTCGCAGGTGGTGCTCTCATCGAACAAGGATCGATAAGCCTAGGAACTGGAAAAAAAAATATTAGAACATAAAAAAAAATTAGAACATAAAAAAAATAGAACTGGAAAAAACCCGCCGCCGGCGAGAATCCGGCACTCACCCCTGTACCGTTCGCCGCCGCCGCCGCCACGCCGCCCTCGGCCTCTTCCTCTGCCGACGGGGGCTTGCTCGTCGTCGGACATCTCGCGTCGCCGCTGTTGCTGGGGCTCTGCCGCTTTCTTCTTCGCGCCGCCGCCTCGGTCTGTGGCGCCGCCGCCTTAAACTTGGCTTCGCCGCTCTGGTTATTTGCGTCGGCGCTGGTAGGGTGAAGGAGGGGATGGAGGAGGAAGGAGGACGAGAGAGGTGGGAAGGGATGAATGGAGGGAGGGTGTCTGCGAGAGGGCGAGGGAGGGGAATTAAAAAACAAAGGTAGCCAGCGACGGCGCCAATGCCATAGACTGGGGCGCCGTCGCTGGCTTTTTCTTTAAAATCGCTATTTGCTGAGTCTCGGGCGCCGTCGCCAACTTCCTCCATCAAAACACAATATTGTTGTAAATACTTTTAAAAACACAATATTCGTGGTAAATTAAAAAAAAATAATATTTATGCAATTAACCCAAATTCTGGACTCATATTTTTGGATGTTCGTATGTATGTAATGTTCTTTTGTTCTTGTGTGTGTAAACAAGTTTGTCTTGTAATTTGTACATCGTGTATCTTTTGTTATGAAAGAAGAATGAACTAATCCACATTACAAGAATGAGTCAGCTACGTACCTGAAGACATTGGGGGGTCACATTTGACCCATCATGGCACTTTGTGCTCAATTATGTCGTCAAGCAACACTGTTTAACTATCCAAAAGTAGTAAATTATTATTATTATTATTATTATTATTATTATAACTAATTAACATTATTGGGGTGTTTGTCCAAAACAGCAATAATTGGGCTTCAGCCTCAATCATTGCGTCTTGCTCTCTTTTTTATTTCATTTTCCGATTACATGTTGTTTGCTCCCTATAACTTGAATGAAATTTGAGTTCCTCATTAAAGTAACAAAATTCCATCACTTGCCCTTCCTTTTTCAACGAATTAATTTGATTCATCCACTTATTTATAGATTCTGCATCTTTTTTCATAGAATGGATTTCTCTTTTCTTCTTATTGTTTGTCCCCTGTAATCTAAAAAATCGATCTATATTTTTCATTTGTCCAATTTCTTCAAAATCTTGATCATCCACCAACAAATTATTGTCGATCGCTGTTTCGAACATGATGAATGCTTTGTTGTCATTTTTGTATAATTTGTCTTTTTGATCTGCCTCGACTAGACATTCTTAAAATCTTTGACAACGATAAGAAATTCCCATCTAGCTTCCACGATTCCACCATAAGAATAATACGCCAACATATTAGCAGTAGATTCCACCCCCTTACTCTTCTAGATTACTCCTTATAGTTTGGCTGGCTCACCGTAATATGTCATTATTATATGAATTCTTACTATCGAATTTACAAAATACATGTTAGCTTGAAAGTAATGTTTTGTGAATAAACTACAAGAAAGGTGATTTCCCATGGCAATCATGGCAACTTCGGATCCCCCCTTCAATCAAATGGACTCTTATGCGCAACACGCCAAAAAGTGTCCAAAATCAATCAATAATGTGATGAGATGAGATGAGATGAGAGGGAGAATGAATGCAGTGCACCATCATTGTTACTGTTCTTGTAAATGTGACAAAAGAACAACAACGGAAAGAGCAAAGGATCGATCATGAAGATGAATGGAACTTGGCACCAAAATAAGGCCAGATGGATGGATCATGTCAACCACCTGCATGTGAAAGATTGGTTGGTGCATTTGCCTTACACTATGTTTGGCAACCAAGTTCGAGAAGTGCAAGTTGAAGGGTAAATGACTGAAGTCTGAAGGTGCAACTTGGTCGGAGTGTAAGTGGAGGGGTAAATTGTTGTTTGGATGAAAAAGTAGGAGGTGCAAATAGACTGAAAAGTAAGTAATTATATTATTATAATATAGATTTATCAGATTTATAAAATATTATCAGTAAATAATAAAAATAAAAATCAATCTATAATAATAAATAAATAAAATTTAATAAAAATAATTATTTTATAATAATGCTCAAATAATAATTAGTCCTCCTAAGGGGGTTCTCGTGCCTATATTTAAATTGAATATGGTCAAACTTAGTCAAACATGTTCGAATCGGTAAGTTTTAACTATTTAATTAAGTAAACTGAGTAAACTAAACAGTTCTTCTCTATTTTTTCCACAAACACTTCTTATCTCTAATTTTCAATGCAAATTTGAGTCAACCAAGAGATATCGATTTTACTAGACGAACATTGACAAACTTGCTCTCGAAGTCAAACGGTCATCCCCGTACAACGTCTACATTAATGATAGCTATAACAAAAAATTAATAATATGAATTATTATGTAATTATAATATAATTAAAAAATTCATAATTTCCCCCTCCCCTCCCCCCTTCCTTCCCTTGCACCCCAATTCGGGGGTAAGCCGAAATAGTAATTTTGCACCCTACTGTTACAAATTATTCAAACGGGTGCAAATGTCTTGGAAACTGTGTTTACCCCTCCCATTTGCACCCTCCTCCCATTTGCACCTCTTCCCAAACATAGTGTTAATCTTGTTTCTTCCATGCTTTGCTTTCTGGTTTTGTCAAACTTTTTTGCCCTTATCAATCGTTGATTGCTATTGGACTGGGCAGAGTGAATGAAAAGCCTTTCTCGGAAAAAGAGAGAGTAGAACCAGTGTTTGTGTAAGTGTACTATATCGACGGTTCGATCGAACAAATTATCTTATCTGAAGTTAAATCGATAGCTGATTTTTGGCCGTGACAGTTTTTATATATTGGGCAAGAAATGAAATAAGACACGGATTTACGTTGGTCCACGGGCAGGAGAGAGCCAGCTCACTATACTTTTTAAGAGAGATACAAATTACACAGGAGTATGAGAAGTATTATCATGTGGTATGGCCCTAACCCCTAATATAATCCAGTAAAAAATAAAATTACAAACGAGATTCAGAACAGATACCTAACTGTGTATAAGCCCATACACCGTCACTTCCAGCGAGATCCCCATTACTTCCAGTAGGATTTCTCAATCATTGGGGATAACCTAAAATTCTTTCTTCAGCACCATTTAACGCAAAGTCTGAACTAGCTACGACTATGTTGATACCTCTTGTGATGTGTTTGTTGTGAGTGGGGGAAGGCGGATTATGTTTTATGTAATGTTACAGTGAAGTAATTAAGCCTTTGTTTGGTGCTTTTTTTCTCAACATAATTAAGCATTTCTTTTTAGGGTGCTTGTATCTCTACCATTTAGAGCTGAGGGTTTTAAGTATGGTAGCACGAGGTCAATCCTTTGACAGTTCAAGCAATGGTAAAAGCATATGTTAATTGCAAAATCAATTATATGTGTGGTTCAGAATACCGACCACCACAACCATTAGCATGCTAGCCTCACCTTGGCATTTCAGTATTCAAATGATTGTCTAAAAATGTAACACATATTAGGGGTTTTCCATAACTCTTCGTATAAATCCGACCTAAACTAGACTACTCCAATCAACCTATTAATTCTCTACCCACTTGCTCGATCGGGCCAACATATCAGACCGGATTTACAACCTTGCTAATGGCCTACAAGAAAGAGGGGCATGTACATAATATTGCTAAATGAGAAGGGCAAATTGGGTGAAGCACAAGGTTGTCAAACCGGTTTATGTCAGTGTGCCGGTTTAGCAAGTGGAATGGTTCAACCGGTGGCACATACCGGTTTGTGCCGGTTCATGCAGGTCAATATTACAAATAAAATTATAAATACTTATATTTAAACATGATATTTAACGTCAATACCTAAACATTTATATTTGAATCCAACAAATAACATCAATATTTAACTTTTATACTCATAAAATAAATAATAAAATAATTTTTATCAATTAAATTCTCTAAAATAAGGTCATTTTACTTAGAAATTCGTATATCGATCATGCCGGTCATATCGGTGGTGTCACGCCGGCCGGTGTGACAACTATGCTGAAGCACAATGTCAACGAGATTCCCATCTCGGGATGCCGCCTATCACAAACTTTTTTTAAAAATGTACCAACCCCAATTGTACTGTACCCACAATATATCATATTCAATTCCAATTCCTTATTTTTTTTTTAGCTACCCGTACCAATTCTTTACATTTGTCACAAATCTTAACAGAAGAAAAACCCATAAGAATTATCGGAGAAAAACCCATAAGATAAAAATAAATTCAAATTACAAAACCCCCCAAAAAAGAGGGGAAAAAACAGAGAATATTCAATATTGACCTTGGCCCTCGTCTTCAGCTAGATTTTGCTCTCCTCGTTCCTCTCTGCATCTGCACAGATTAGATTTTTTTTCGTATTATTTTCTCTTGTTTTGGGTTTTTGTTGTTTGGATGGATAGTCTCACTCTTATTCCTATTCCTTTGCTTTGGATGCAATCAAAGCCCCCACCGCTTGCAACAAGTCACCTGCAATCTCTCTGAGAATTTTTTACTTTTTAAATATTTTTTTCTTCTTCTAAGTTCTACCCACTGCCACTGGGAAAAAAAAAATAGTTGGGAGGGAGACTTCAAATACTCACTCACTCTCTTAAGATGGCTTGTAAAAACCAGAACAAGCCACCACTCAACTCCATGCCCATTTCTGCTACTCTGCCTTCTTCACGTGTAAGCTTTCTTTCTTTTTTCCATTTTTCTTCTTCCCCCTGTCTTTTTGGGTGTTCTGAGATCTGGGTTTGGCTTCCTTTGTTCCTCTTTCATGTGGGTCTCTCTCTCTGCTGCTCCCCTTTTCTCCTCCTTTTTGTCATTCTAGTGTGTTTGTGTGACGTACGTTTCCAGGCTTCCCCGCTGGATCGAGGCTGGACTACACGCACCCTCTCACAGTTTCTCTTCTTTCGCTTTCTTGTCTCTTGTTTTTCTTTATTTCCTTTCAAAAGCGATGTTTGTTTCAGAATATGGGCGTTCTGGCTGAACTTGAGAATCTTTTTGTTTTTCTGACTGTAACTTTCCGTTTTATTTGTTCTCATGGGGTGGGTTGAATATAGAGGAAGTCTATTGGAGGGCATGAGCTGAGTTCACACAGAAGGTGTAGTAAGCTTGGAGCTGATAAAATGGTTGGAACAGGAAATGTTAGTGGAAGGATGAGGCTAGCATTCTCTATTGTGAACGGGGAACAGGAGCTTGCTCCCAGTAGTGACCCGCCAAGTAATGCTGGATCAGAGTATGGTGCCAACATTGAGTTCACTAGAGAGGATGTTGAGACTTTGTTGAATGAGAAAATGAGATACAAGAGCAAGTACAATTACAAGGTTAGCAAAGTTTTCTGCTTTTTTATATGGGCTTTTGAGGTTGTCGTCAAAAGGTGGTCCTGGTCAGTAGTTCTTGTTTTCTGATGGCAAAAAACTTGGCAAACCCAATAATGTTTTTCTTTGCAGGAGAGGTGTGAAACTATGTTAGACTATATAAGGAGGCTGAGGCTTTGTATAAGATGGTTTCAAGATGTAGAAGGGAATTACCTGTTTGAGCAGGAGAAATTGCTTACCGCATTGGAATTTGCTGAGGGTAGATGTGCTGAATCAGGTTGGATTAACTATTTTTGTTTCCTAACAGCCTTTTGTTTCTTCTGAAATTTCTGAATGTGTCTCCTGATGCAAACATTGTTGCTATTGATTGCAGAACTGGTCTTGAAGAACAAGGAAGAAGAATTGAATTTGATCATTGTGGAGTTGAGAAAGAGTCTTGCTTCTTTACAAGATAAACTCTCCAAGGAAGAATTAGAGAAGATGGTAGGGGCAGACATGTCCTCTGACGTTCTCTGGAAGTGTTGATTAGCTTTTCTTTTTGTCGCCATGCTTAACCCAAATCCTGTCATGAAACTACCAGGCTGCAGTAAATTCTCTTTCGAAAGAGAAAGAGGCCAGAACTGAAACAGAGAAGTCGCAAGCATCCATCTCTGAGGAGCTTGGTAAGGTTCAAGGAGAGCTCCAAAGTGCGAATCAGCGGGTAATTGAAGAAATGCATCATAGTAGTAAACATGTGCTTTGTGCTGATCATTTAAGAGAGGTCACTTAGCTTTTGTACCTTTCTGGGTTTCTTGGCCTGTGCAGATAACTTCAGTGAATGACATGTACAAGCTGTTACAAGAGTATAATTCAAGCTTACAGCTATATAACACTAAACTTCAGACAGATCTTGATATGACACACGAAAATCTCAAGCGTGCAGAACAAGAGAAAGTTGCTCTAGTGGAAAACCTTGGGAACCTAAGGGGTCAATTCAAGTCATTGCAAGAGCAGTACACATCATGCAAAGTGAGAATGTTATTTTTTATTGTTATGCTCTTGGATGAATTACTTTCGTTGACATATATCATTGCTGCCTTTACTAACTGCTTGAAGTTGCTGCCATTTTGAGGCCACTGGATCAACAGGAACAGTGCTATAAGAGTGTCCTTTTAGTTGGGAGGGAGTATTATGCACTGTAATTGAACCAAAGATTTGTGGTTGATACTTTATCTCCTTTCAAAACCAAGTAACTGGTCATCAGTGCCTTCATTGTCTAGGTATAAGTAGATGTGAAAGGGTTTTACTGAATACTTGTGCTTTGCTGTTTTTCCTTTCACTTTTAATTGACAAATGAGTATATGCATTTGAGATAGGAAGTCTAGCACCAAAGCTAATTGAACTTTGACCTGACATTTCTGGTAATAAAGCTTGGGATTTGGATGGTGCTTAGTATAGAGATGTCAGCTTTTTCTCCAGTTTGTGATGTTGTTAGTCCGTTAAGGAAACTTATGCAGGAATCTAATGAAATTGGGTCCATTTGAAAGATGATCTCATAGATATGATTTTAGCATTAGAGTCTTTTAATGCATTTGAACACTCTAATAATTTGTATGCTGAGTGGGACAGGATTCACCATTTATGTGTCAGTCGACCACCCTTTATTGTAGTAGCCAAAGGAATAGCTTATACAGACTCTCATCCTTGAGCATAAAAATTCTGTCTCCGCAGTGATTAAGTGAATATCTCCAGGAAACAGAAAATTTACTTGCTATTATATTTGCCCAAAGTTCTGGGAATACTTTACCAGAGAAGATCGTGGCTCTCTTTAATGCGCACTACAAACCTGTCTTGGAAGGACTAAACATGTTTGTCGATCCAATGCACAAAATTTGTCCGGTTAGACATTTCTATAGTAGATTGGTTGGTTTTAGCATATTATTCCTACTTTATTTTTTGGAAACATATGAGGTGGCCAGAAGCCCTTATTTATTGTTGGTTAACTTTAATAGGAATCTGCAGACGAATCTCTGAAGCAGAAAGATTTGTTGGTGAGTCAAGTTGCATCTCTAAAGGGAGAGTTGCAACAGGTGAGAGATGATCGAGATCGACTTACATTGCAAGTGCAAGATTTGACAGCTGAAGTGGCTAGTTACAAGGAGCAGTCGCAAAAGTCAAATGAGTTCGAGGTCTACTTTTGTACACTTTCTTCTCCTAATATGATCTGTAATCCCATGACTCTCATGTTCTACTCAATGATAAAATGTTTGCAGGAAAAGTATCTGTTACAAAATAATGAGATAAGGACGTTGCAGTACAAATTGGAAGCCGCTGAGAGTAGATTAAGGGTGCTTATCTCATGCTTTCACATTTGTCTTTACTTTATCAGTAATTATTTTCATGAGTTACTGTCTGGAATCATTTGGAGATGATGAACTGTATACCCCCCTTTCAGGAGTCTGACATGTCTGTGTTTGAGACAAGGACAGAGTCTGAAGCTCAAAAACAACTTGCAATAACATTACAAAGTCAGTTGGACGATGCTGAAAAGAAAGTTGTTGAAGGGGAGCAACTTCGGAAGAAGTTACATAATACAATCTTGGTAAATTTTAGCTGTCTAGTTTTCTGTTAGTTTTTTTGGCCGGATCAATATCTTCATCTTACAGAAAGGTGTTTTGCTGAAGGAACTGAAAGGAAACATTCGCGTCTTTTGCCGTGTGAGGCCCTTGTTGACTGATGATGGTATTGGAAATGATGGAAAAGTTCTCTCCTATCCCAATTCATTAGAAGCTCTTGGACGTGCCATTGATTTAAATCAAAATGGTACATCTTTAAAACCTGACAATGTTATAATGTGTTGTCGATTTGGATAGTAGAGACTTTTAAACTAATTGCTTGTTTGCATTGCCTTCAGGTCAAAAGTATTCATTCTCTTTTGACCAAGTTTTTGCACCTGAGGCATCACAAGAGGATGTATTTGTGGAAATTTCACAGCTTGTTCAAAGTGCTCTTGATGGTTACAAGGTACTTGTTTTGAGATTGGAGTTGGCGGAAGCAATGATATATACTGTTCAATCTATGAGAATATCCAGTTTGTTTCAACCTGTTAGTTTTGCATGCCTGTGCTCATGCGCTTAATTGTTTAATTTGTAGGTTTGTATTTTTGCCTATGGGCAAACAGGATCTGGCAAGACTTACACCATGATGGGAAAACCAGGGCAGCCAGAGCAAAAGGGACTGATTCCCCGAACGCTGGAACAAATCTTCCAAACAAGGGAGGCCCTTAAGTTACAGGGCTGGAAGTACGAAATGCAGGTGAGGGCAATGCCATTTTTACTCTTAGACTGTATTGCATGTAAGTAGAGATTCAACTACTTCTATGAACAACAACAGTGAGATAGTTTTCCTTTTTGCAACCCAAAACAGGTATCAATGTTGGAGATTTACAATGAAACCATTAGGGACTTGCTATCAACCAATCGAGATTCATTTCGAGACGGTACTCCTAATGGAAAGCAATATGCAATCAAGCATGATCTGAACGGGAACACAACTGTCTCTGACCTTACTGTTGTTGATGTTCGGAGTTCTAGGGAGGTCTCATATCTCTTGGACCGGGCAGCTCACAGTAGGTAATAGTCTTGAGATAATGTCTCATTCTAAACTTTGCTACTTGGCTAAGGCCTAAGTGTAGAAGTTATTAGCTAAGGGTAGAATGCTATTTATCTTAGCTCAGACAGATTGCTGTTTGAGCTTATTTAAGTTCTTTGAATGATCTTGTTTGCTAAATGGTTAGATCCAAAAACTGTACCTCATTTTTTTAATGTTGCAGGTCAGTAGGTAAGACACAGATGAATGAGCAATCATCAAGAAGTCATTTCGTTTTCACCCTAAGAATATCTGGCGTTAATGAGGTAAATGCTTCCATTGATCTGTGTATGTTTCTTCTGTCTATTTATTTATTTCCTGAAAACATTGAAACTGAATAATGGCTGGTGTTTGTTGCTCTCCTCTAGAGCACTGAGCAACAAGTACAGAGTGTTCTGAATCTGATTGATCTTGCTGGAAGTGAGCGCCTTTCCAAGAGTGGTTCTACTGGTGACCGATTGAAAGAAACCCAGGTTTTTTACTAAAAAAGCCTAACTGTTCTCTCCATATTTATGTTTACCCCCTTCATTTTATCCTTGTTGCATCTACTAATGGAGCAACACCCTCCTCTTTTCCGTGTTCTTATCAGGCAATCAACAAAAGTTTGTCATCACTGAGTGATGTCATATTTGCCTTGGCAAAGAAGGAAGATTTTGTACCATTTAGGAACTCAAAGCTCACATATCTGCTCCAGGTATTCATGGCTTCAGAAGTTGTTTCTTCGGCAAAGGTTTTTGGCAATTCTAAGTATGATAGGTTGGGTTGTCTTTGTTTTTGTTAACTTGGTGATGGTTCAATTTTTGCAGCCATGTCTGGGGGGAGACTCAAAGACGTTGATGTTTGTAAATATATCACCAGAGGCATCATCATCTGGCGAGTCACTATGCTCACTCAGATTTGCATCCAGGGTCAATGCCTGCGAGATAGGTGTTCCTCGACGCCAGGCTAACTTACGATCTCCAGACTATCGCTTCAGCCTGGGCTGAGTATTGAGAGATGGTCAGTCTATGCCACCGGCCACACCCAATAGCATTACATTTTACTCTGCCACTACCATGGATGAATGATTTAAGTTTTCAGAGGGAAGTGGAGGGGGAGCAGAGCCTGTACTATTAACATAAGCTAACCAACGGCAACCATGCTCTTCGTTTGTATAGTAGTAGTAGTAGCAGCAGTAGAAGAAGAAACTACTTCGCTGTGTCTTGTGAGGTCATTTAGATAGGGTAATTATTTATTGTCACTATCGTATACTGATTGCTTGCTTTCCTCTCTTGTGTCTTCTTTCAATCCACCTGGTTCATTCATTAATTCATCTGACACTACTGTAAATCATCAATGTGCGAATCTCAAGCTTTTCAAAGCAATAGAAAAGGTTATGAAGATGCATTTTCCTTCCAGGAGGAATAGATTGTAATGCAGGTAACCACGTTACATTATTGTCACCATGGTGCAGGAAAGTTTTTAGTTTCTAGGCCATTGTCTCCATCACCTCCTTGAGAAGCAAGCTAGTGTCTTGATAGCATGACACTGTCTGAGGCAGGCTGTTCTTCCTTGCAGCTTCCTCTAGCTGCAATCACATTGCATTTGCATAATAAGGAAACAGTTGCAATCAGTCATAACAGATCAGGCAAATGTGATAAGCGATCTACCTGCTCAAAGTTGTTGAAAAGTCTAACAGCCAGATCAGTGAGCGGCTGCTTCTGATCGTCAGCAGCAGCAGATATCACCTTATCGAAATCGTAGTACAAGAAACTGGACTTGATCCTGAGGTACCTCCTCACATAGTTGAGAGTGTCGGGACCAATCAAATCCTCCATCGCCTGAAGGTCGAAAGCAGATTTCTTGATCCTGTAAATTCTCCCTTTCACTCCAATGTCAGCTACGTAAATCCCTTTCTTCAGGAAAGAACGACTCCCCGTCCTCTCATTTGCAAGCTCTTCTGCAGAAACAAGAAAAAAACAAAGGCAGCAGTTACTGAGACTGAGAGGAGGGGATGGAAATAGAACTTGGATGGATGAGGGTGGATCAACTTCTTCTTCATACTGTTGTCAATGGTGGGATTGGGCAAAGGCCCGTCTATCCAAAACCCGTTATCTGCAGCCAGAGATGCTCCTCCTCCTCCATTGTTGGCAATGAGGGCTACAGAGACAAGGCCGCCTAGTGCTAGCCTTCTGGAGGTCTGCAACTTCAATGGCTGCTGCTCCTTGATTGTTGCTTCAGCAGCAGGTTTCGTGGGAAGAGCAAGTGCAGGGTTTGGAGAGTGTTTGGGGATAATGTTGGAGAGAAGGTTTGGAATGGATTCTGTTGGATGGTTCAGGTTTGTTAAGTTAGCCATTGGAGTTGGAGAAGGAGCTGTGGGGAAAAATGGGTTTGGGTTTTTGGCAGTTATATCCGTTGCTCTGGGACTAAGGAGCGTTGGTAGCTGCTGGCCACCGGAACTATATCCTTTCTTTCCTGGCAGGGGTATTATTGGCCATTTGAAGCTAATGCAAATATGTAATCCACTCGATAAAACAATTTGGTTTGAATTAATCATTGGGTTAGAGTTGAACGACCAATTTTTGATTCATTATCTAGAGCTTTATATAGTTTTGCAAAGTTTACAAATGTGATAATTATTAATATACAAAATACTAGTATTTTGGCCCGTAACGATTCAATTGAAATCAATTGAACTAATTAAGAAACTTACTATTTTTTAAATGTTTTCACTCATTTAACGATTCAATTGAAATCAAACAATTCACGGGTAATTAATCAAAATGGTCACATAGGTTTGGGCCAGTAACAAAATGGTCACAAACGTTTAAAACATAACAAAAAGGTCATATATGTATCATGATATAACAAAATAGTCATTTTATCTCTTTTTAGTCATATTTTCATCCAAAATAACTGATTAATTTGATGACAATAGTGCAAAATTGATAACAAAATATCAACCACCTAACCAACCTATGAAATTGCTTCTTACTTAGAGCAAACAAACTAGCAATTTTATGAATGGAAATACATGAAATAGTTGTTTTATTAAAACATGATACTTGCATGACCTTCTTGTTACGTATTAAATGTTTGTGACCACTTTGTTATTTGATCAAACTTGTGTGACCATTTTGATCAATTACCCAACAATTCACAGATAGTTCGGGTAAAATACCTAAATAAAATTTATGTGTTATCTTATTCATTACTGTAGACTTATGTAATATATATTTTTAATTGATACGTAAGAAATGATAATCTAACCATAAGGTTTACGTGACATATTTATAATTTTTTTAACTTTTATTGCTCGGTGTTACAAATCTTCGTATGTGATCTAATATTAAAATCAAGTTAATTATCTTATCTAAAGAACTTTTGGATAATCCAAATTGATAAGATGGTGAATATTGTAGGTAATAATAAATGTTTTTTAGTTAATAGTGAAAGTATAACGTTATGAAAATATGATATTTGATTAAAATGTTATGTAATAAAGGAGATTTGTTCAAACTCATATCACAAAAGATTTACGTAATATGTTTGTTTAATTGATATATAAGAAATGGATATCCCTCCATAAACTTTACATAGTGTCTAACTATTACAAAAGATTTATGTATGTATTTGTAACTATCACTGCATAAGTTTTAGCGTATGTATTTGTAATTTACGTAATTATTATAAAAAGTATTACATTAATCTTTCACAATGTGTGGTATTGTCATAAAATCAAGTTATAATTAATAATAAAATTTAAGTTATGAAAAGTGTTGTATTTGATTAGACTATTAGTTTGAAGTAAACTTACCTAACAAAACCTTAACGTTTTGCTAGGGGATGATAGTTTGGTCAGTTGGTCTAACTTATGCTATAAAAAGTCAATTGAAAATTTAAAAAGATTGAGATGCTTTGTTAGTTGTTAGGCGGTCTACATGGGGTAATACAAAGGTTAGGATAACCGACAGAGAGTAGAGAAGAATGTCATGTCATTAGACATTAATCACGGGTTTGGATAGCGTCACAGTCCCTAAGGGGGTTGTGAGACTCGCTTCCCCCTTCCCAGCCGTCCATCTCCCTTATGCATATGATGATCCACAATGTAGCAAGGGCTTTTATGTAATTAGTTTAATGGAAAGAATTTGAAAAGATAAAATAAATACATGGGAAAATATTATGCAGCGTGATTGGTGGGATGAATTACCACTAGCCATAACCGTCTGCGTCTATTCCCCTTCCATTTATGGATTCTTCCCCTTCCATAACCGCCCGCGTCACTTTCCCGACAATATCTTTACGTTGCCGCTAGCATACAATGGACGGAAACATCAACAACGACGAAGGCATAGATGGGGTGGGAGCTGAACAAACTCATTTATTTGGATGACCTGAACGTCCCATACACAAGCAACGATGAGGAGGAGAATGGTGATGATGTTTTCATTGTGGATTATGCATTTTCGACTTGGAGGACCTGCTTAACAAAGAGCTTCCGGAAAACTGCGAAAAGACGGACTACGTCAACGTGGAGAACAATGGCGATTTCGAGCGGTATATGCTCGAGCACGTTGAAGACGATGACGATGTCATAGAGAATGTCGCCGGCAGCAGCAATCTCGGTAGGGTTAACGAGTGAAGCTAGGACTTCCGTTGAACTGGTATTGTTTTTAAATGGTACAACTAATGCCAAGACAGAATGGTACCAGTAGTTAGCTAGTGGTAGTTCGTTAGTAGTGGTAGTGGTAGTTTCGAGAATGGTACTAGTAATTAGCTAGTGGTAGTAATCTAGTGGTAGTGCAATTTTAGTGGTACATACACATTTATAATGTGACCTCTAATGTTATTTTTTTAATTACAAGTGCGGTATCATCTATCATCCCAACAAACAGGTAAACATGGGTCACTTGCGTTTCCAGAATCAAGATGAATTTACAAGTTGTTACAAGTGTTTTGCTCATGGAAGAGGCTTTTCGTCAAGAGTTGTTGGAGTAGTAAAGAAAAACAAAACTAATTACATGGGATCACTTGCATTTCTAGAATCGAGATTCATAAGTAGCAGGTTGTTTTTTTGCAGGTTGTTCTTTTGTCGTCGGCCCGTAGAATGGAAATCTTTGTTCTCACCATTTCTGCCACAAAAAAAAAAACTATATTGTTACAATGATGCCACCATAAAACATTTAACAGTGCTACACAAAACTACTAATTAAGACTAATACGACCTTCGACTACCAATACCAGTAACACCAACTACGGCTACCACTACTAGTACCACTTCAGTGGTACCACTGCCACTTCGACTACCAATACCAGTAACATCAACATCAACTTCGATTACTAGTACCACTTCAGTGGTACCACTTCCAATTTGACTACTAATACCAGTACCACCAATTTCAACTTCGACTACCAGTATCACTTTAGTGGTACCACTACCAAGCCCATTAATCAGCGCGTATAATAGAGAAATAAGGAGAAGAAGATTAATCATTAGTAAACCCTTGGGCACTCAATATTCACGGGGTGAGAAAGGAGGATAGGTGGAGGGTTTGGGCAAGGAAGGCCGCGGGATGGATGGCTAGGAGGAGGGTGGGAACACAGAACTAATAATGGAGTTTCCCACATCAAAATACAATTAGTGAGAAAAAATCGTAATGAACAGTACCCCACTTTTTCCGTGACTTGCGTTTTAGATATATTGATTGATGATTTGGTTTAGGGTTTACTAGATGATATTTTGGAATTTGTATAAATTTTAGTGACATTTTGCTAATGCCACATATTTTGCATATTTTTTTTATTTCTTTTGTCATTTTGTGGACACATATTTGGCTAATTTTTTGTTCATTTATGTTATTCACATGTAGGAGCCTTTGAATAATCCACTTTTTCATTTTTATCTTTTTAATTTTTCTTTCGAACCGATGTCTTTGTTCGTATTTGAGTTTTTCAATTGTTCAACTAAAATATAAATCTTCTATCTATCTATCTATCTATAAAATTATTAAAGGCTTTTAGATTTGGACCACTGCCACGTACTCCTCCCTGCACGTTGAAGCTATCCACGTCAGTCTCCCTTTCGCAGATAAAACCTTTGTTTCCTTCCCTTTACAATTTCGCCGCTTTCTTTCCGCCAGCGCCAGAGCCAGCGCCAGAATATGAAACTGTAACTGCCTCCCGCCTGCCCTATCTCCCGCTCTTCCGCCACACCCTATCGCCGCTCTCGATGACTCGGTTGCCCACTCCATTGATTTCCTCGCTTAACTCATAACAGTATCCTCTTGCTTCTACGGCCTCAAATGCTCATGCGTGCTAGCTTTCTACTAAATCGTTGATCGGGAAAGGTAGAAATGCGGCCTAACTGCCTGCATCTACGGCCGAGAAGGAAAAAATACTAAGCCCTCAACATCTTTACAGTAATTTCGAAGCCCCATTCTTACGAGTTTGCTCAACCTTTGTCCTGCATATTTGCTTTATGATTGACATTTGTTGGATCATTCTCTGCTTCCTCACTTCTTTTATTGATCGGGAAAGGCAACGACATGGAAAAACTATCGACGACTGCAAACTGATAAGCAAATAGTCTCTTGGTAAGCCCTCAATATTGCCTCAACGATCATTCTTGAAGCCCCATTCTTACGAGTTTGTTCAACCCATGTTTTGCAAGTTTGCTTTGGATCACTCTCTGCTTCCATTGTTTACAAGTTGCGGACTTTGTGATTAAACACAGTTTGATATAGTGAATTAATGATCCTCGACGCTTCTGTGTTGATTGTTTTGGTGGGGTTGAGTAGAAAGCAACTCTTTTGTTTGAATTGTTTGTTAGTTTGTTTACCTCTTCATTAACATTATTTCCCCTTTCTAATTTCACTATTACCTATTACATATGGTGAAACTTCTAAAATCTGGCTTTACTGGTTTATATTTGTTGGTGTTGTGGTTGCCTTTGACCTTAATTTACCAGTTACCGTGGCGTGATTTAGAGTTTTGACTCAAAACATAGCTAACATAGTCATAAGCAACTACTCATCAATCCACCATGAAACACACACCAGCATAAGTGCATAACATAGGCGACTATTGCCTATTGAACCTTCCAAGAAAGGAAGGGTCCTGAACTCTTAATACCCTTCTGACCACTCCTACTATTTCTCCATTGTCAAACCTCATAGTGGGTAATCAAGATTTAGCCCTCCTGCTGCGTTAGTTTAGTTTCAGTTCTTTCTAATTTGACAAATTTAATTGCTTTAGTAACTCTTAGTAATATCCTTTGCCAGGCTAAAACATGTAACATGTTTTCAGTTGGTGTACTTTCCAGGTTTCGTTGTTGCCCTCATCAACTCATATCCTTCCCTACAACTGAAATGGCCAAGAAAGGTAAAAGACTGATGATACCCCAACAAAAGAACTCGACAATACAACTGGAATTCTTCCACCCAATACGTTCAAGCTGTGTACATTAGCACTTTATATTTTTCATTTTTTACATTCTTTCTCAGATTCATATCGCTTAGTTAGGGGACATTGTTATTCCGAAAATGGTTTTTCTAATTTTCTCTCACCAGATACCTCTTATAGTATGATGCTTTTAACAGAACACATTATAAATTAACGACAAAACAACAGTAACACATATATGTGGATGTGGATCGATGAGTATAATTAGTAGAATCAAATATCACTTCAATCCACTTAAATCACTTTAAACTCCTAATTTTCACCGAATCAAAGCAATTACGTATACAACAAAACAATCCACGCACGGAACCTTTCAAATTTCAACAAAAAATTTAATCCTGACCCACGATTTGGTATCTGCGTAAGAAGCCCAAAAGCAAAGCCCATTTGACATGCTAATTATAGTGAGTGACTGCACACTGCAAGTCTGCAACTAGCTACAACAACGCATAAATAGATTCAACGAATCTGCTTTGAGCTTGGTTTTCGGCACAGCAACCAAACTCCAAACGCCCACGTCCCGTCTCCGCATTTCCCAATTCTCTCTCTCTCTCTCTCTCTCTCTCTCTCTCATCCACCGCTCCGCTCCGCACCCCAGTCCGCTCTTCTTCTGCTTTCGCCGTCCCCGGGAAACGTCCCCTTTCCCCGCGAAATCGCCGGACATTGCAGCTCCCGCCGTGGAACAGTATTTTACGGAGACAGAAATGGTGTCCCCGGAGAACACCAATTGGATCATGGAGTACGGCCTCATCGACGACATCTCCGTTCCCGATACCAATTTCTCTGTTCCGGTCAACGGCTTTTCCTGGCCTGTCCAAACCCTAAACGCCCCTCCTCCCTCTGATGCAGCCGGGTATCCAATTCAGTCTCTCTCTCCCCCCCCTCGTGTTGTTCTTTCTAATTTTCTTGCTTCCTCACCCTGTCCATATCAATTAGGGCTTCAGTACCTAGCTAGGATTGTTCTTAGACACTCTGCTGCGAATATTTTGTATTTGGGGGGCTGCCTATGTATTTGTGGCTAGCAGGGGTTGGGTTAGGGTCTTCCTTTTGATGTAAAGTTTTTGTCTTTGTGGGAAGCAGCCGCTGAAGCGATCTGTGCTGCTACCACCTGGGTTTTCTGTATCAGTTGAGAATGGTTTCGGCTATAGTTTTGTCAGGACATCAACTCCACGTGTTCTATACAGCTGGTTTGAAGAATTTTGTTTCATTTTTCTAGTTCCCAACTAGTAATGCTTGCCATGCCGTGCCTAGGCTCTGGCTTTTCTTAGGTTGATGCGTTCCTCACGGTTTGGTATTTGTTGTAACCATGTCGTTCTGCCTCCTGCTGTTTATCTGTTGTTTTGAAGTTTGATGCTCACCAACTTATCCTTGTTAATTTCTGACTTCTTTGCTAGTCAAATTGATGCGTCATTTGGAGATTCCGAAGGCCAGAAAGAATCAAGTTCCAAGAAAAGGTTAGAAGGCTTATCTTTTCTTCTCCCTCTACTGATGAGTACTAGCAATTCACATAGGCTTAGATACTTGTTTACTTTTCCAGCAAGGATCACGTGAGTTAGGTTGTTTGCTTAAGAACAAGTACATTGAACTGCAGTATCCAGCCCGATGATGCATGTTTCATTGACAACCGTGTTTAACTATTGAACTGTTCGTTGAAGGTTGATAGAAGCTTTTACGCATGCATCTAGTATATTTTAGTCTGAATTCACTCTCCAAATCTGAATGTGTGGATTGGATTTGTTAAGGAGGGAAAGGATGTAATGGTTATGCTGTTCTCTTTTTATGCAGGGGTAGATCGGAGTCGTGTAGCGGATCGAGCTCGAAAGCATGTAGGGAGAAGTTGCGTAGGGATAGGCTCAATGACAAGTATTTGCTTCTCCCTCTCCGCTTTTCTCTTTCTTTCTTCCAGCACAGTACAATAATATATTTTGTCATATTAGGTTTCTGGAGTTAGGCTCCATATTGGAACCTGGAAGACCTCCCAAAACTGACAAGGCAGCTATTTTAGTTGATGCTGTCCGGATGGTGAATCAATTACGTGGTCAAGCACAGAAGCTGAAGGACTCAAATTCAAGTCTTCAAGAGAAAATTAAAGAATTGAAGGTCAAAGGCTTCCTTTCTACACTATCTCCACTTCTCATCCGCTGATAAGTGCAAAATGGGTGATGAAATGTATCTTAGTTGGCTAAACGAAAGCTCCCCATTTTTCTTGTGTAGGTGGAGAAGAATGAGCTTCGTGATGAGAAGCAGCGTCTTAAAGCAGAGAAAGAGAAGCTGGAACAGCAAATGAAAACCATGAATGCTCAACCTAGCTTTTTGCCTGCTCCCCCTGCTATTCCAGCTGCTGCCTTTGCTGCAGCTCAAGGACAAGCTCCCGGCAACAAGTTGGTACCTTTCATTGGCTATCCAGGTGTTGCAATGTGGCAGTTTATGCCGCCTGCTTCGGTCGATACCTCACAAGACCATGTGCTTCGCCCCCCGGTTGCTTAAGCTCTAACCGGTGTGGTGCCGGAGGCCTGCATTTTGCAATCCAAGTGTAATGTGTTCTCCTCTTATTGTTCTTGGTCTTGTATTAGTTTTTGATGAAGTGTGTTCTAACTCAGAATTGGTGGGGTGATTCCGTCGCCCTGTAATGTCCCAATCTGTATGATAATATAAGAACTATTGCTGTGCTGCTCGTGTAAATTTCAATAAGTCTCTCTAGCAGATCTCTAACTATATGTTCATACCAGCAAGGGACAGCCATAGCTTCTTGACAATCTCCACCTTTTTCATAGCGAATTTTGAACTTCAACTAAAAAGAGCATATTTTAAAATCACTCGAATATTAACCAGGCAGCATGATCCTCCAAAGGCCATATGCTAAAACTGGCAAATCGACTTTGAGGGGACAAGTCTCGGATTGGAATGTCAAAAAGGCAAAATTGTGGCTTGTGGGGCAACTCCATTTGAAATTTTTATACGGTTGTGCAGCTGCCATGCATCATCATGAATCATATCATATCTCCTTCGAATTTCTCAGCAGTAGCAGTACAGGATCATATTCAGTTACTCTTGCAACTCTAAATCAACACTCAATGTGAGTATTTCTTCTTCATCATCTTTCTCTCCACCAAGATATCCACTTTCCTCCATGGGCTACAGTAGTCTTCTCTCACTACCACCGCTGCTTTACCGGCAGCCAGTCCCTTACATTTTCCCTGACCCATCGCAACAATGACCTCCATCATCTTTCCATCACCCACCACTCTTTTCTTCCCAACAAAAGATCCAAACTTTTCTGTCTTCAAGTCCACTCTTCACTTTCTTCCTCCTCCAAACCACCAACCTCCAGAGAAGAAGCAATCCTCCAAGCTCAGACCTGCCTCTCCAAAACCTTAGAGAAGCCCCTCAACAATCCCAAGCTCGTCGGCAGGATCAAGAAGCTCAAGCAGCCTAGATTCCAAGTTGAAATCCCTGTGGTTGATGATTCCCCTGCTTCCCTCTCTCAACTAGCTCTTGACATCTTCAACGACTTACCCATCAAAAGAAAAGGCTCTCTGGCCCACCCCTGCACTCAGAGATGTTGCAGTTGAAGCAATAGCGTTATTCTGCTAACCCTTTAAGTGGTTAGTAGATACTAACACGGTGAGATATTAGGCCATGTTGTCGAGCCACGATTGGAGGGAGTGGGCTTACCGGCGCCGTCGTGCGAGGGGGAAGGGAGGGCCAGCTCGGCAGGTCCAAGCCGAGCCATGTTTTGGGAGAAGTGGGCCCACAATTCAAAAAAAAAACCCCTAAATTTTCAAACCCAATCCCTCCTCTCTCCCTCAACCTGTGTTTTTCATTCTCTCCACTCTCTCCAAAAAAATCTTTTGTTTCTCTCCCTCTCCGTTTCTTCTTCTCCCGAAAACCACCATAAAAAATTCCAAAGGAAGGGTGCGAGGTCGGCGACGGCTTGTTTGAGTCCACGCCGACCACGACGTTGAAACTATCCCGACGAGGAACAAGTTTTTGAAAGGTTTTCACCGTCCTTGAAGAAAGAAGATGACGACGTCGCCGACGAAAAAGGAAGACGCCGCCGCCGCCGGTAGTGGGAGGTAGAAGACGACTGCAAGGAGGATGCTTTGGTTCAGGTTGACGTTGATTTTGTTTGTAGAGATCTGGGTTTCGTTTATCTATTTCAAAATTTAGGGTTCACTAAGACATAAAATAATAGCATAATATATATTATGTTAGAGAAAATAGCTTGTTTTAGAATGACAAACTCATGACGTTTATTTGTTTTACTTGATGGGCACATTCCGTGTAGGTCAGACCCATTTAACTCTTTTATATTATGATTAACGGTTAGCACATTAGAATCCATGCATTAGTTTATCGTTAATTTTTTTTTCTTTTTAGCAATAATAAGGAGTATTGTTTTTGCCTTTTCATATATATTTTACCACCACGGAGAAATAAACGAACTTAAAGAAAAAAAAATTGACACTCCTGGACCCGTTTAAATCCACATGTGTACGGTAAGTTGGCCCGTTCCATAGAGGAAAAAGAAAAAAATTGACACTCCCTATTCTACCATTCCTACAAATGCTCATGGAGCAGGGAATTTGAAATGGGGGAAGAGTTTTTTCCTCTCTGCGATTATATGTTTTTAATTTAAAAAGATACAACAAATGTACATAGTGTGACTGGTTATGATCTTTGCTTTTCTTTAAAGTGGTCATAGTTTGAATCCTAGTAAGTGTCTTTTTAATGAATAAAAAAAAGTAATTGTGAAGACCAAAATATCCTTCCTACTTTCACTCTGGATGCAGAAAATTTGAAATGGAGCTTCAAGTTTTCTCATTTGGCTTTTATTTATGGTGTAGATTACAACTAAGAATGACAAATATCCACAACACTCTAACTAATATCTAATAGTTGTACCTAAACCCAAACTCCTAACCCCTAAACCCTAAACAAACAAAACTAAACCCTAATCACTAAACTCTAAAAAATAAAAACTATAATTGTTTGCTCAAGCCGAGAATATTCAAAGGTTCCACACAAATATCCAAACACATGAAATAAAGGAATATTTCTTCAGGTTCAAATAAATATTCACACAACCCAGAAACATATCCCAATATTTCAGAGAAAAATCCTGTGATCAATAAAAGATATTACAACTAAGAATGACAAATATCCACAACACACTAACTAATATCTAATAGTTGTACCCTAAACTCTAAACCCTGAACTCTAAACAAACAAAACTAAACCCTAAACTCTAAAGCCCTAATCACTAAACTCTCAAAACTAAACCATTAAACTCTTAATCCTAAACCCTAAACCTTAACACAAACCCTACAGAATAATATCCAAACGTCTCAGACCAATATCTAGTGACACCTAAATAATATTGTAAATATAACAGACTAATATCCACCACACACTGACTAATATCTGATAGTTGTACACTAATCCAAATAGTTACCAAAAGTGTTAGATGTTTAAATAAATGTTGGACAACATCTTAATAGTTACCAAAAGTGCCCCATTAGAATATACAAACGTCCAAGAAAATTTCTGAAAACATGAACTAATATAATTTCAAACCAAAGCTAGACCATAAACCATAAACCCTAAACCCTCTTCACAACACAAACCCTAAACCATAAAAACTATTATTATTTAATGGACGGTTACCAAAAGTGACCCATTAGAATATCCAAACGTCCCAGTCAAATATACAAGAACATGAACTAATATCAATTCAAACCAAAACTAAACCCTCAAAACTAAACCATTAAACCCTTAAATCTAAACCCTAAACCTTAACACAAACCCACAGAACAATATCCAAACGTCTCAGACAAATATCTAGTGACACCTAAATAATGTTGTAAATATAACAGACTAATATCCAAAACACACTGACTAACATCCAACACACACTAAATAATATCCACCATCTACTAACTAATATCCACCACACACTGACTAATATATGATAGTTGTACACTAATCCAAATAGTTACCAAAGGTGCTGATGTTTAAATAAATGTTGGAAAACATCTTAATAGTTACCAAAAATGCCCTATTAGAATATCTAAAAGTCTAAGAAAATTTCTGAAAACATGAACTAATATAAATTCAAACCTAAACTAGACCCTTAACCCTAAACCGTAACACAAACCCTAAACCATAAAACTATTATTATTTAATGGGCCTTCGGCGAGCAGCCCTAACTAAGGTTGCAAGCCTTATGTGTTAGGACTTCCTAGTGTGTTTAATTTGATGCAAGAAACAATATTCCAATCCTTCACAAATTGAAAACCCGAACCATAAACCCTAAAACTTAAAAACAATATTCCAATCCTTCACAATTGAAAACTCGAACCACAAACCCTACAGAACAATATCCAAACATCTCAGACAAATATCTAGGGACACCTAAATAATATTGTAAATATAACAGACTAATATCCACAACACACTACTAACATCCAACACACACTAAATAATATCCACCATTTACTGACTAATATCCATCACACACAGACTAATATATGATAGTTGTACACTAATCCAAATAGTTACCAAAGTGCTAGATGTTTAAATAAATGTTGGAAAACATCTTAATAGTTACCAAAAGTGCCCTTTTAGAATATCCAAAAGTCCAAGAAAATTTCCAAAAACATGAACTAATATCAATTCAAACCTAAGCTAGACCCTAAACCCTAAACTGTAACACAAACCCTAAACAATAAAACTATTATTATTTAATGGGCCTTCGACCCATGGGCCCTCGGCGGGCAGCCCTAACTAAGGTTGCAAGACTTATGTGTTAGGACTTCCTAGTGTGTTTAATTTCCTAGTGTGTTTAATTTGATGTAAGAAACAATATTCCTATCCTTCACAAATTGAAACCCCTAACCATAAACCCTAAAACTTAAACTCTAAATTGGTGTAATCAGTTTCGGGTGGTTGGGTTATTTTGGGGTTTGGTAAATATTAATTAAATGATGGATATTGGTTTGCGAAGGAAGAATACTAGTTCATTTCAACAATGATGCATAGTAATATCAACACAACACATAATAATATCGACTGAAAATAAATAAAAATCCACACAAACAAACATACATAAATATCACATGGCTTGCGGGCCCAAAATTTTCGTTCTCTCTTTCCACTCTCCAAAATCCCGCCCAAACTGAAGCAGGCCCACAAAGCCACTTCCTCGGCTCGCCTTCTGCGCCGCACGCTGGGCCAGCGTCTACCCCGAAGCCCATCTCCAGCTCACTTAAGTGAGCCACCAATAAGCCCATCTCTCTTCCGTTGGATCAAACATGGGCGGACGTGGTACCAAATCCAGCACTGTTAGCAGACTAACTTCTGCACAGTTGAATCATTCCAGCTGTCTGCTTCATCATCAGCTAATGTTGAACACGTCGGCATGTCTACCTATGACAACTAGCATTTTTCCCGGGCGATTTCCCGAAGTGTGATTCTTCAAATATTTAGGGGTCGTTTGGAAGTTGCGATTGTTATATAGATGTATTGTTGAGAATGCATGTATAATATTATACATGTATTGTCGAATTTGATGCATTGTAGAATACAACGTTTGGTATGTGTGATTGTGTATGTCGCATAAGCTAAAAGCTGAGACAAAACAATCTCAACTCAACTATCTCAACAATCACAACTAAAAGTTGAGATATAACAATCACTCAAAATGAGTGATAGTTTCTGTCACATCATAGAAACAATCCATGTATTGTTTCTGCTAAAAAAACAAAAAAACGATGCATTGTAAATAATATATGCATAATGACAATCTCAACAAAACAATCGCAACTTCCAAACGACTCCTTAGTTTATAAAATAAATCGATAATATCTCATTGCCCATTTTATTATAATATTTGTATTTTTTACTGTACACTTTCAAGAAAGATGTATTTTTTTTTATACCTCTTTCAAGAAAGATTTTATTATTAGGAAAGAAAGTAAATATTGGATTAGGGAAGACAAAAATGATCCACACTACCCAAATCTGAACATTGTGGAAAATGGATGGACATGATTTTATCACTATCCAAACTCAACCCACCCTATTAAATATATATGTATGTGTTTTATCTACAAATGGTCATTATATTTTTCCATCTTATTTTATATTCATTATAAATATATAATATTTTCATGTAATTTTTTTCTTCATGTAATTGTATTCTCTTTAACTAAATCTCTTGAAATTACCTGACTTGATCCGTTGTCATCCCTAGGTATGAAGAAAAATTATTACACATGGATAACTAAGAATATTTGTAATCCGATCGGGTATGTGCATGATTTTGATTTTATACTCAACTTTTAATTATTGTGTAGCTATGAGTATGGTAAATCCTGAACTAATTTGGATAGGTTAATGATATGGACCATTTGCCCTGGACTCGATCCATTGCCTTCACGAAAGAACGAGTATCTAGAGAATGTTGAAGATGAACACTACAATAAAACCCATTTGTCAAATATTTCATTTGGCCTTGGATAGTTTGGTATTCAATCTTATGAGAATTTGTGATTTTTTTGTTCTTTCTTCTTGGTTCTTAATATGGTATTGTCACACGTGTTCTTGAGTTGTGTGTACCAATTTAGATACCATCTGATTCCTTCCAAGTTTTTTTTCGCCTGGCTCCACGATTATGAGTTGGGCCATTATTTGCTTGCTTCTACGTTATATATAAACTGTCCTGGAGTTGAAAAATGGATTAGGAACCAATCTTTATTGCCCATTTCTCGTTATCTTCTAGTGGGCCTGCCTAACTAACCGGCCCAAAAACTGGCCGAGTGAGGCTCGAGTCATAATTGGGTATTTTGCCAAAAACACCCCTCCGCAAAATAAGGATTGCTCTTCGGTGGCTGAACTGGCAAAACTCCAATTTGCGCTCTTGTATATACACATGGATAACTAAGAATACTTGTAATCTGATCGGGTATGTGCATGATTTTGATTTTATACTCAACTTTTAATTATTGTGTAGCTATGATTATGGTAAATCCTGAACTAATTTGGATAGGTTAATGATATGGACCATTTGCCCTGGACCCGATCCATTGCCTTCACGAAAGAAAGAGTATCTAGAGAATGTTGAAGATGAACACAACAATAAAACCCATTTGTCAAATATCTCATTTGGCCTTGGATAGTTTGGTATTCAATCTTATGAGAATTTGTGATTTTTTTGTTCTTTCTTCTTGGTTCTTAATATGGTATTGTCACACGTGTTCTTGAGTTGTGTGTATCGATTTAGATACCATCTGATTCTTTCCAAGTTTTTTTTTCGCCTGGCTCCACTATTATGAGTTGGGCCATTATTTGCTTGCTTCTACGTTATCTATAAACTATCCCGGAGTTGAAAAATGGATTAGGAACCAATCTTTATTGCCCGTTTCTCGTTATCTTCTAGTGGGCCTGCCTAACTAACCGGCCCAAAAACTGGCCGAGTGAGGCTAGAGTCATAATTGGGTATTTTGCCAAAAACACCCCTCCGCAAAATAAGGATTGCTCTTCGGTGGCTGAGCTGGCAAAGCTCCAACTTGCACTCCTGTATATACACATGGATAACTAAGAATACTTGTAATCCGATCGGGTATGTGCATGATTTTGATTTTATACTCAACTTTTAATTATTGTGTAGCTATGATTATGGTAAATCCTGAACTAATTTGGATAGGTTAATGATATGGACCATTTGCCCTGGACCCGATCCATTGCCTTCACGAAAGAAAGAGTATCTAGAGAATGTTGAAGATGAACACAACAATAAAACCCATTTGTCAAATATCTCATTTGGCCTTGGATAGTTTGGTATTCAATCTTATGAGAATTTGTGATTTTTTTGTTCTTTCTTCTTGGTTCTTAATATGGTATTTTCACACGTGTTCTTGAGTTGTGTGTACCGATTTAGATACCATCTGATTCTTTCCAAGTTTTTTTTTTCGCGTGGCTCCACTATTATGAGTTGGGCCATTATTTGCTTGCTTCTACGTTATATATAAACTATTCCGGAGTTGAAAAATGGATTAGGAACAAATCTCTATCGCCCGTTTCTCGTTATCTTCTAGTGGGCCTGCCTAACTAACCGGCCCAGAAACTGGCCGAGTGAGGCTCGAGTCATAATTGGGTATTTTTGCCAAAAACACCCCTCCGCAAAATAAGGATTGCTCTTCGGTGGCTGAGCTGGTAAAGCTCCAATTTGCACTCCTATATATATATATATGTTTTGATTGATTTGATGATTTGATTTTGATTTTGATTTGATGACATCAGGAGACCAATGTCTGGTTCTGACGTGGCAGTGTTTCTTTCTCCAGAGAGTTCCCAGCTAGTGTACGTGAAAAGAGTTGCAGACGGTTTGTATCCAAACCCAGTTGTGATTTTGAACCCAAGATGGGGGTTTGAAGGAGTGGGTGAGCGTGATGGTGATTTTGGAGAAAAGCTTAATGGCTTTGTGGGTTCCTTTGAGGTCATCTATTCGTTCATGGGGCTGGAGGTTCAAGGAGTTCTGCGCAAGAGGATAGGAGTGATCTTTAAGTGCGTGAGGGATGGAATTGTGAGTGGCGAGGAGTGGAGTGTTCTAGTTGAAGAAGGAGGTGAGATGAAAGTTGTTTCACAGTTCAAGGCAAGGCCTTCAATTGGTGAAGTTGAGATTGTTCTGTACAACCTGATGGCTATCAATTCTCCCATCACTAAGTCTGCCAAGTTCCTCAAAGATTTGGTCTCCAATGTAACTGGAAGGAAGTGAAGGGAATGAATCAATGGATTCCTTCCTTCCCTTCCTTGAATAGCTGAACATAAACTGACAGTAAGAAGTGGCAAAATGACAGAACTTTCCTTTTTCACTTTTGTATGATTGATTCTCTGTTGAATCTTGAATTCCTTTCCTTTCTTGGATCCAAACAAAACTTATTTCTGTATACTAATTTCTAAGTGGCATGGATTACAAAAGAAAGAAAAGAACTAATTTCGAAGAGAACCAAAAGGGAATGAACTGAGAGAAAATTTATGGGGAAAAGAGTGAAAAATATGTTACAATCTGAACTTTTGAAGCCATTCTTGTTCTGGAACGGCCATATGAACCTCTTGCCTTTCTTCTCTTCTTCATCCACTTGTAGTCTTCTCCTTCATATACAAAGCAGAAAGAGAGATCTTCTTCTTCTTTCCTTGTGGTTGGGTGGGCTGTCGTTGGCCTTTTCCATTTGGTCAAGTTCTTAAGCTGCTCTAATGTGACAACTCTTGACGAATTTATCAGAGAAGTCAACGTACTTGGCCCATAGTGGCCTGAGCTGAGGGAAAGCTATGTCTAACCATGGCTTTGCTCTGCCATTGAAATGGATGACACCAGCAGTCTCAGCATCCTCATAACTCGTATTCTCTTGGTACCCTAACCCTAGCATGTGCCAGAATGGATCAATGGCTTGCACATGGCCGTGGAATGCGATTAGTCCTGGTGGTAGTGTTCCCAGCTGCCACAGGCTGAGGTCTGATTTCAGGTTCTGCAACACAACAGAACAAAAGAGGAAAGCTTCATTTGTCAGAACTCAGAAGAATGCAAGACATTTGGGTGATAATGGTTTTTTTTTATATCTAGAGATGATGCTTACCTGTTCAAGCCATTGATGGTAAGTGTTACTGATATTGGTATTTCTCCAAGCCTCTAGATCGAAGATGTTCATTCCATACGCCCAAGCACAGCCTTCAGGGTTGAAATGCTGAGCTATCAAAGGATGTGAAAAGTTCAAATAGTTCTTCAACTTCTTAGACATTACATACTGGTCCTCCCCTCTGCATGTCTCCACAGCTCCATTCACTTTCCCATTCAGATCGATGTCCCAAAGTGGCGAAAGATCAGTCTGTACCACAATGTCATCGTCTAGGAACACCAACTTGTTCAAGCTAGGGAAAAGCTGCAGGTTGATAGAAATAAATCAACACCATCACATTTCTCAAAATGGGGTTCAAGGGAGGGAAAAGAGACACACACACTTAAAAGAGTAAGAACCAACTCCTGCACATTGATCAGGGGTTTTACCTCAGGCAGATGAATCCTGATATGATTCATCATGGAGTTGTACTTGGGGCTAAGAGCTTGGAGCTTGGCTGCGATAACCTTAGGCTTCTCGGTGTTATTCTCAACGATTGCAGAAGACCCACCTCTGAACTGTGACCTCACCTTCTGATCTTTCTCCATTGCCTCAAGGACAGGAACTTTGCCCTTTGAGAACCAATCGAAATGGTGCAATGCCTTGACCTCAACAATTGCAGGAGATAGAGGGTGCAAGGAGAACCAGGCTTGCATTGGGTAGTAAGTTTTTCTGTCTGTTATGATGTGGATCACAAACTTTTGTGGCCTCAATGCATTTCGGACTATGGATGCAGCAACTACAGCCGCTGCAAGGACATTGTCTGAAGCAAGTACAAAATGGTAGTAAGAGTTGTCAACTAGAGCAGGCACAAGCTCAGCTGAAGGGAGCTGAAGCCTGGCGGCTGCATTCGTAGAGTGCTCATTCGCCAGCCTCAAGGCTAGGCAATGGAGCTGTTTTGGTATGCTACTTGATGCTACATGCCTGTACAGATACTCTTGGATTTTCGCTGTTCTCGTCCTATCTTCCATTAGTGAAACCTGTGAAGAAGAAACAAAAAACGATCAGATTTCTTGAACTGGGTTTGAGACATTTATGTCTCTTTTGGAAACTCAGATGTGTATATAAAGGAAGGAATACCATTTCTCTGAGCTTGAGAGCAAAAGTTCTGGCATCAAATCTTGAATCCTTGACTTCTGCCATGAATTCCTCGAGTGTTTGAGGTATGTCTGTTCTTCCTTGCAGTTCTTCCTTGTCAATGGGTTGTTCTAGTACTTTGTACATTACTTCAGGAACCTAGTTGTGAATAGGATAAGCCATAGCCACCAGTTCCACAATCAGTACACTTCATCTAATGGAAAGGGGAAAAATAACAAATAGCAATTTAACCATTAAAAAGGTAAGGAGATTACAGATTGGTCCATCCTTCTTCCTAGTAACCTTGGCCCTATTCTTTTCCCCAAGCAACCTGCAGTCGGAAAAGATTAACCAACAGTAAGGACAGATAGATCAGGAAACTAACTGATCAATCCTATGCAGTTAGCCATGGCAACATCATTATCATTAAGAGGCAGCATCTCAATCAAGAGAAATTTTTAGTATAATTTGGTCATGTTTCAGTGGTTGATTAAGTTAATCAGCGTTTGTTAGCTTGGAGATTGTCAAACTTTATTACATAACAAACCCTTCTCTTGCAGACCAATTATGCAACCCCTAACACAAAATAACAGCACCCATGAGGGGTCCTGAGGAGGGCCTATTTGTCAATGTCAACTTCTTTTTCTTCTTTTTCAGATAGTTGAACAATGAACATCACAGACTTGCTTGCATTTTCAGGCCAAGAAAATCCGTGCAATTTAAGAAGTTCATAGTTAAGCAGACTAGTTGAAATCCAGCCATATCTATCTTCTTTCTATCCTCTGACTCTTACCGTGTCCCTCCCATATGCAATGCGACCATGTCATAGCCTAATAATAATAGTACAACATGTAGTGAAAATTCTGCAGGGAGATAGTAACAATAACATGTTGTATTCATGCCTTGTAGGATAAGTTAACCTACCAAGAGAGGAGCATCTGGCTTCGCCATCAATGGAGTCGACAGTGGAGAGGACAAACACGAACCGCACGAGGAAGGTGAAGAAGAGAAGCGAATACAAGAGCATTCGATACGATACCTTCTTGCCTCCAACTTTAACTTGGATGAGGTCTCTAACACCTTTCCCTGGAAGAACCGTGACATGCCTCAAGCTTGGAGATATGTGGAGCTGCATTTTCAATCAATGAGATGATGATGCCTCAACGTTGCTGCAGCAAAACCAGGAGCTAGCTAATCTTGCAAGCTAGCTGCTCTTCCTTTTTCCTTCTCAAATCTCCTCTTCTTCCTCCTTTTCTTCTTCTTTCCTCTCTGAAATTATCAGCAGCAGCAGCAGCAGGAGCTAGGGATGGTCAGACAAGAGAAGTTAGAGATGGCTTTGGGATATAGGAGTTGAATGTACCTATCAGTTACCTAAACTTGCTTAGTAAATGAGCTATAATTGAGTAATGATGCATACATGTATTGGTTTGAATTGAATTGCTGTGGCAGGATATAGTAGGCATTGCAGGCAGGAAAGGAATGGAGAAGGGGGGTTGTTAAGCTGAAAGAGACTTCAGACTTAGAAACTGCCTTTGGCTTAGGACTGAAGGTGGGGAGGGGAATTGTGACATTCAAACCTATACCATCAACATAAACATGTTTTTTTGCTGCAGAGAGACAGCTCCCTACAAGCAAAATGAAACAAAGAAAACAAAAAAGATTGGAACTTTCTTCGTGGGTTTTCTGTTTTTAATTCGATTATGTTCTCTCCTCTTTGGTCTTTCTGTATGTGTTTGGTGTAACATAGCTTTGCCTACACATGAAGTCAATTGATTTTTTTTTCGTATTAGGGGAGAATATGAAGAGCTTGTGATACCAACAGGCCTTCTGAATTGGAAAATGACCCTTTTCCTTTCCCTCTTCTTTTTGGTTTAATGGTTTCTAGGACTTGGTCTTTGGAGTACCAAAACAGCAAGCTCTCTCTCTCTATTTATTTATCTCTTTTCTCCTTTCTCTTCATAGTAACAGTTTAAAAAAGGTGGGAAAATCGACTTTTGTCAATGTGTTATGTCAGGGCACGAAATTGAAGTTAAGGGAAGGATTCGTGCTATATTTGGTTTTCATTTTGAAGAAGACATGCTTTGTTTTCTTGTTCAGGTAGCAAACAAAGAAATGCAGGCATCACTGGGCTTGTTATTGTGTGCAGAAATCACCTAAATGAAATGTGTCCATAGGATTTTTGGAATATTACCAATATCGCATTAAGTATTTTGGATGTACCAAAATTGTTCTTCAAAACCTATGAAAAATGAAATTAGAAGAATATTTAAGAAAATCAGAAAAAATGGCACGAAACATGAGTGTTGTAAACCACTCAGAACTTTCCAATCAAATGAAATTTCAGTTGTTCAATTGTCCATTTTATCATGTAGAGTATGATATAATATTCATAACCCAACAAAGATCATGAAGAAAGGTTGGTTTCCAAGAAAAAAACAAGAAAAACATGGAAAGAATTGTAATGTGAATGTCATTAAATTAAGATTGAAAAAAAAACTATACGTATATCGTAAATTCCGAGGTTATTGAATGAGAATCCACCATATCGACGTCCATTGCTTCGAACGGAAATTGAACCATATTTTGATACCACTTATCAAATAGAATAGGTCAATTAGTACGATATTATTCGCTTCTTTAACAATAGGTCTAGTACTAATTAGGATTAGTGGACACTTGTATACATGAATTCTTTTCTTGTATTTTTGATAAGGTACTTGAACTCATGTAGTATAATTTTACTTCTTGTGCCACGTTGAGGTTGAGTGTGTATTTATTCCCTTCTTGTTCAGTGCCTTGCTTGGTCTACTTAAAATTTACTATGTAGTATAATTTACTAGCTATTGTCTACTTAAAATATGGGATTATTGTCACTGAGATTATAAAAAACGTTCAAGTTTGGTCACTCAAAATATTTAAATCCATTGGTGGTACTTCAGTTTACTGAAATCATTCACATTTGGTCACTCTTCGTTCAACTCCGTAAACTTTTACTTAAGTGGCGGTCAACTCTAAAAATTGACTATTAAATGTATGATGTGGCAATTTAAAATTAATAAAATTTAAAAATTTAAAATTGCCATGCCATCTCATTTTCCACCCTATTATTACTTTTATTTAAAATAAATAAAAAAACCTAATTACTTCTAATCCCCAATACCAGCAGCCAGAACCCGACCGCCCGTCTCGTTGGAAGAGCTTCCTGATCAACGTAAGGCCAAACCATTTGGCTTCCATGAAGAGGGTTCCCCTCCACGGCGGCAACCGCATATCCGCCGCTTCCATCGACCGCCTCACCGCCCCGTACATAACCCGTAGGGTTAATTGCATGGTTAGTCACTGAGATTACAAAAAGCGTTCATGTTTGGTCACTCAAAATATTTAAATCCATTTGTGGTCCCTAACTTTACAAAAACCGTTCATTTATGGTCACTCTCTGTTAGCTGCCATTAACAGCGTCCGTTAAGTGATGACGTGGCTGACAGATTCGCCTAATCAGCACTTTTTAACCCGAAAATTGACTGACCTGACCGGCCCCGTCATTAAACCCGCCATGTCAGCTAAACCTAACCAAACCAGACCCACTAATTAAAATAGAACTGACCCGACCCACCAACTAATCTACCCAAGGCGGCGCGGGATGGAGGCAGATTGATTTATCTTCGGTTAGGGTTGGAATCAGGCAAACGAATTCGGCGGCGGCGACCCTCTTGCCACCGCCACTCCTCCGATGCTACACAATCAGCAGAATGGAAGCTTCAACGCTACAACAACAATGGCAGCGGCTGCAACTCCTCCTCAAAGCCTTTTTCTTTCCCCTACCAATAACAGTACATTCCAAAATTACTCCACCTCCCTTCTGATTCAACCTGAGAACCCGATCAAATTCGATCATCCAACGCCACAGCCAACGATCTCCAACGCGTCCAGCACCTGCTCTACGTCCTCCACGAGCTCTCCTCCCTCACCGGAAGCGCCAACCACCGCCTCGCCGCCTACGGCCTCCGATCCCTCACCCACCACTTATCCATTGCTTCTCCCCCGCCGCTGGTGACGGCGTCCGGGTCCAACACGTTCGCCACGACGGAGCCGAAATTCTTCTAGAAATCGCTGCTGAAATTCTGCGAGGTCAGCCCCTGGTTCTCTTTCCCGAACAAGATCGCGAACGCGTCGATTCTCCAAATTCTAGGTCAAGAAACCGATCCATTGCGAAACCTTCACATCCTCGACATCGGAGTTTACCACGGTGTTCAGTGGCCGACCCTGCTCGAAGCTCTCACCTGCCGCACCGGCGGGCCGCCGCCGCTGGTGAGAATCACTTTATTGACCGCCGCCGCCATGGATACCAACCAGATCGAAGAAACCCCGTTCTCAATCGGACCTCCGGGGGACAATTTCGCCACCAGGTTGCTTTGTTTTGCCAAATCGATGAACATAAACCTGCAGATCAACCGCCTCGACAACTAGCCATTGCAAACCCTAAATCCCCAAATCATCGACACGAATCACGAAGAAACCCTAATCGTCTGCGCCCAATTTCGCCTCCACAGGCTGAGCCACAACAATCCCGACGAGAGAACAGAGTTCCTGAAGACCCTGAGGCGATTGGAGCCCAAGGGAGTGGTTCTGAGCAAGAACAACATGGATTGCAGCTGCAACGGGTGCATGGATTTCCCGACGGGGTTTTCACGAAGGGTGGAGTACATGTGGCGGTTTCTGGACTCGATGAGCTCGGCGTTCAAAGGGAGGGAGAACGAGGAGAGGAGGATGATGGAAGGGGAAGCGGCGAGGGCGCTTGTGAGAGGTAGAGATGGGGAGATGAAGAACGAGAGGAAGGAGAAATGGTGCGAGAGGATGAGAGGGGTTAGTCAAAGGTGGGTAGATTAGTTGGTGGGTCAGGTCAGGTCAGGTCTGGTTTGATTAGAGGTTTGGTAGGTTTAGCTGACATGGCGGGTTTAAATGACGTGGCGGGTCGGGTCAGTCAATTTTCGGGTTAAAAAGTGCTGATTAGGCAAATCCGTCAGCCACGTCATCACTTAACGGACGCCGTTAACGGCGTTGGACGACAGCTAACGGAGAGTGACCATAAATGAACGATTTTTGTAAAATTAGGGACCACAAATGGATTTAAATATTTCGAGTGACCAAACATGAACCTTTTTGTAATCTCAGTGACTAACCATGCAATTAACCCATAACCCGTACTATCTGCCTGTGTTTGTTGAATTCGACTAGGGATTTGGTGCCGCCAACGGAGCCTTAAAGCTCGCGGATCAGATCTAGAGGGAATTTGGTCCGATTTTCCTTGTCCGATATCGGGTGCCCGAAGTCCGAGAAGAAAACGGGCAGGTTGTTGGGGATCCACTGTAAACGGTCTGCCCGTGGGAGAGGAAGAGCAATCGGTCGAGCAACTCGAGGATTTTGTAGCTCGACTGGTGTACGGTCATGATGACGATGTTGCCGGACTGAGCGATTAGCTGGAGGACTTTTACCACCATGTACGTGCTGGTGGAGTCGAGCCTCGAGGTCAGCTCGTCGAGGAAGAGGATGATCGGGTCGTGGATGATGTCGATTCCGATTGAGATGCGACAGCGCTCGCCGCCTGAGACGCTGCGATGGCCTTCGTCTCCGATTACCATCGCGTTTCGGAGGTCGAGCTGGTCGCAAGTAGTACTAAGGCTGTTGATGTTTGTAATTCAATAGTTGGTGGTGGAATTGATGATGCGCCGCTAGTGGTGGATGAGATAGTCTCATGGCCTTGGCGGAGGAGGAAGGGATTTGGAGAGCGATTGCGGTGGCTAGGGTTTGGGTGTTTAGGGGGTATAGGAGATTAAACATTATTTTTTAAAAGTTATTAAACTGAGGTGGAAATTTAATAGAATAATTTTTTTTTAAATTGCCACGTTACACATTTGACCGACGGTCAACTATGAGAGGTTGACTGCCACATCAGACAAAGTTAACGGAGTTGGACGGAAAGTGACCAAATTTGAAGTGTTTAACTAGTCTTAGACTTAGTGACCACGAATAGAATTAAGTATTTGTAGTGACCAAACATGAACCTTTTTAGTAATATCAGTGACCAACCTTGCAATTAATCCTTAAAATATGCATTGAAGATTTATTTTGATTTTTGATACTTCTCCCACCTCTTATTATTGGGATCGAACACTGGATTCTTGACATTTAAAATCATATCTTATCTTCGTTTTTTAATTGTGGAGTTTATAAATACTTCAAATATTCTAACCATGAAAAAAATACAATCACATAATGAGCTTCTTTAGTTTTTCTAATTCAATATTTTTTTTCCATTACATTATTCATGTCATTGAGAAAAATAAGATTCGAGAATCATTACACCGCCACAATCTAGAACGTCAAATCAAACTCCAACAAGCTTAAAAATGAAAGAATAATTTTTCTTTTTGCCATCAAATTAACTACCCTATTATTATCTCGACCAATAAAACCGACATAACAAAATTTAAAGATGCTCAAGCCAGGCATTAGTTGATGGGCATAAGCAAATGTTTGGTTCTTGTTTTATTTTTAAAAGTAAAATTATTAATATAGAATCCTATGGGTCAATAGTTTTGTCAGGCCAATTGCCATCCCTACTCGTCTATGGTCTCTCCTCCGATCGACCACAAGCGACAATATTAATGTACAAATGCAATTATGCAAATCTTGCAATAATATTAACCCTTTAATCCGACCAAATTATCCTTGGATATTATCTCAACAAATACCACTATGAACAATTGTCATTTTGGAAATTTCAATCCGTATAGACAAAATATAACTTTGAAAAATATTAAATCATCTAACAAATTAGGCAAAAGGCATTGAGTATATAAACTAATACAACTTCCAGAAAATTTTCGAGAATTACCAGAATTGCAGGAATTGATGAACCCAAATGTTGGTTTAACGTTGTTCAAATTTTGAAATGTTGTTTCAACTGGGCTTCCTCCACCCAACGTAGGATGTCATGATAGCGTCACGCTGACGCCTTGCTTCCACAATTTCCCGCACTTTTCTCTTTTTTTTAGGTAGTTTGAACAATGTCTGGAAAAACTTTTCTTTCGTTTTCTCTTTCAATCTCCAACCAAGGAGAATGTGATCCTGATGATTTCTTCTCATCTCATTCGATTTGTGATGATAAACTTTTAATTTGAGGTGCTTTGGTTTGTTTGTTTTTTTGTTTTTGTTTTTTTTTCCCACCCTTTTATCTCAACAGAAAATTGTTTGTTGTCTTGGTTTAAATTTTACTGCTCGAGAATGGTTAAAAATGGAATGGGTTAGGAATGATTTTCATTGTCATCCTTTGAAATTATCACTATCCTAGACAATTGCAGAAACATTAATGAGAAAACTAACTAACTAAATACTAGTTATGTTTTCGAAATACCACAAGGTTTTCGAAACTCACTTCGTTGTAAAGTCAAATTATATTACAATGATTGGATTTAAAACTTTGAGATGAGACATATATGTCGGTTTTATCTGAGCTTGTCACATCCTGGCGTCTTACACCCTTTCTTGTCGAATTTAAGGGCGGAAAAAATAAGGACAATTAATCAAATTCGGAATACAATCGAGTACAACACAAAAACTAAAATTGACACAACAATTTTAACTTGGTTTAGTATAACGGTATGAGACTGTTCACAGAACGTAAGAGTTTTATTATTTAATTAATGGCCTGATCCGTTACACACGATGGATATATATAACCCTCTTCATCAAGCGAAGTTAGGGACCGAAGACAATACTTTTATCATTGTACCACACATTGAATTAACTACATTCCCAGCTACGTCAATGTGTGGAAGTCATGAAATTCAGGAAAACAAGAACTGAAACCTGTCATAAACACATTTATTTGGGGTTTCTATTATTATATTAGGTAGGATAATTATAATTAGGTTAAATACACTTGTATATTCAAAACTTTCACGATTGTGCCAATAATATCCAAATTTCCCGAAATATCACTTATATCCAATTCTTTCACATTCTTTAACGTTTTTTTGGATATACAAGTGTATTTAACCAAATATATATTGGGAAATGGATAGATTTGGCATAGAACAACTTTAAAACATGGATATAAGTGGTATTTTGGGAAATTTGGATATTATTGGCACAACCGTGAAAGTTTTGGATATACAAGTGTATTAAACCTTATAATTATGATTAGTAGATATTTAGTCATATTAGGATTATTATTAGGGTTTTTCAGTATTTCCCTATAAATATGTACTTTGGGTTTACGTCATAATCAATGAGAAGAATATTAAAAAAAGTCTCATAAACCTAATCTCTCCTCTCAACTCCTAATTTCTATCCTCTCCTAATCCAAGGCCTCGGCCGATTCCCAATTCTATTATGTTATTCTCATCTAGATCCCTAATTCCTTCTCTCAACCCTAAATCCCTATTCGTTACGAGTAGTAACGGGTGCCCAAGATCAGTCCCTAGAAGCCCTAAGAAGCGGGTTTCTTAAAAAACAACTCGTGACAAAGACTATGACGAAGAGATCGTCAAGCTGAAATTGCAAACTAACCTTGCATGGAGCCACATCACGTGACATTACACGTTCTTGAACAAAATTACAATTCATTTCCATCTACATAGTAAGTTCGTGAAAAACATGATTCGCTGCAATGTAAATGGTAACTTGGTTGTCACAATAAAGAGGTGTAGGCGCATATGAGAGGCACCAAGCTCGCTAAGCAGCCATCAGAGACAAATAACTTCACTAACCGTATTATGCACTTCTTGATACAAAGTCTACTCGAGTGCGGTTTGGTGAAAACTCATTCGAACCATCCCCGGATAATCATATATAAAGTTCTCAATACAAAGTGAAATTTTTCTTATAATGTCAATGTTACTTTTGAGTTTAAATCATGGGCTAATACCACTACAACACCCAAACTATCGATCAAATGCCACTTGTGTCCTATTCTTTTCAATATTTCATTTCTATCCTGAACTATGATACTTTGTGCCATTTGTGTCCTGACGATTTTGTTGACCGTTATCTCTAACGATTGACCTAACGGTAGTCAAAAAGATGTTGACTTTTGGTGACATGGAAGGAAACGTGGATGCCATGTAGATGCCACATCATACCACATATATATTTTTAATTCAAAATCAAATTAAAATGCAAAATAATTAAAAAATAATAATGATTAGCCTTCGCGTTGCCGCTCCGCCGTCCCTATCTTCGTGACTTCGTCAAGCACAAAATCCACTATCTCCGCCGTCCTTAATCCTCCTCTCTGAGTCCATCATCTCAAAACCCCCAAACTTTAGTTTCGTAATTCGTAGTGAGAAATCACCAATCCTCATCCCTATCAATCAAAATCGCCATAAAATCATCTTCTTCCCCGATACTCTGGTTCCTCCATAGATCTAAAACCAATTGGATCCAAAAGATGTCGATTCTGCAAGCCGGAGCGGAGTGCCTGGCACTTCGGGGGTTGCGCGTTGGAGGAGGAAGTGATGGCGGCGATGGTGGGTGAAGGAGCTCTGCGCTCACCCACGACGACGACGACTAATGAATCCCTGACGATGCAGCCTTCTTCCCCTGCTAGTTTTGAATCCCCTCCAAATTGCCTGAGCCCGCCGACCCGACCCTCCAAATTGCCCTAGCCCGTCGACCCAACATCGGGGCATGCTCAAGTTATTAATCGATGGCTGAAGGGCGGAAGAGAGACGGATTTGGATGGGGGAAGTTAGGGCTATGGCTGGTCGATTTAGAGCTCTCCTGAAATCGACCATGGAAGTTTCGATTCAGAGCAGTGGTAGAGGCAGGGTTTTTTTGTCGAATGAGGCAGGGGTTTTTTGTCGAATGAGAGGGGTGATTGGAGCGCGCGGTGGCGAGGGAGCCGGATGGAAACCCGCAGCAGTTTTGCGTTCGAAGAGGAGAGCGAAGTACTGGGAGATGGTGGCGACTTCGCGGAGTCGGCGAGTTGGGAGGCGGAGAGGCGGAGGTGAGCAGGGAGGGAGAGAGAATGTGGTTGGAGGGTGAGGTCAGAAGTAGTCTAGAGTTTTTTTTTTAAATGTTATTAAATTAAATTGAATTTAAAATTTCATGTCATCTGGCACATCAGCGCTAGCGCTAACTATAATTTTTGTTAGAAACTAACGGTCAACGTCGCTCAACTCTAACGGAAAAATAGTTAAGGACACAAATGAAATATTTGAAATAATGGGACACAAGTGGCATTTTTGTCATAGTTCGGGTCTTGTAGTGGTATTATCTCTTGAATCATTGTCTATAAAAATGAGGGAAAATAAGTATGATTTTATGTAAGAGATAATTATAATACTTGAGTGAAATGGATAACCGAAACGTTGAGGTGAACGAGTTTAATAATAGTTATAGCATATATTGGGCAGTTAGGAGAGGATACTTAAAAGTGTCAAACCACCAAATCCGTCATTCTCTTTATCAAGTTCGTGAAATATCAATTGAATTTTCCCGACCAAATTAATTTGTATTCGGTTGGATGTCCATCGATAATGAGTTATTTTGCCATCCCTAAATTCATCAAAGTTTTCGGGTGACTTTCACTACAATGCTGCTGCCATAGGTACATACATGACAACAAGTGATGGGTTCTTTCTTCCTTTTTTTCTTCATGCAAGGTTGGCATAAAGTCAACTAGGTTCATCAAGTTAAGAGCAGACTGTGGAACATTTCAGTTCACTCTGTTTCACACCAAATCTCCGCACATTAACCTGGAAGCGACAGCAACCAAGTGTAGTCAAAATCTGGCTTAAACTTAAAAGTTTACGGTAATATGATTCTAGGTCACCAAAACATTTCTAAATTAAATCGCATGTTTGTGATACCAACACTATGTTGCGCTTAAAAAATCGAATCCGGTTATGTTGATCTCATTCAGATCGAAGTGAGATGCATTCAAATGTGGAATCAAGTGAGTTTCATTTGATTAGGTTCGCAGTATTGGACACAAATTGATTGGATACAGAAGAAACTGGTTCCATGGAATAATAGGCTTAGGAATGTATACTACAAGGCTCTGAGTGTTCAAGGTTTTCCAGAAAGCAACATGTTACAAACACCAATCTATACCTATTCTATACATATACAGAAAAAATTAAAGAATCGAGTGTGTATACCGAGCTCTATCCTCTTGAACCTGCTTTTTTCCCTCCACAAAACTGTACAGTACTGGGAAATTCCCCTGGTGTGACTAAATCCGAGTCCGTAATTGCATCAGCAAATCTTTCATGCTTTCAAGGTTCTGACATACCTGTATAATATCTGAGAGATTCTGCGCCGATGATTCCGGGCTCGACAGGTTGTTCATAATGGCTGCACATTTAGCTTGTGAATATTCGACTGCTTCCTCCAGCAAACACACTGTAGATTCTGTTTTCCTCTCATCGGTGACGCCATTGCTCAGATTCAACGCTGGTAAGGTTGCGAAGCTGTGAGGGCTACTCACTCTGCTTAGCCTTTCTGGAGTGAAAATCTTTTCAAAACCCTCGCTCCCTGTAGTTAAAGGTAGAAAGCATATATGAGATTAGGTTTCCAGAGGCTGATTGAAGATACAGAATACATTTTCCTAGTCTCCTACCAAGGTTGCTAAGCTGATCAATGGCGGCCAGACCGATGGAGCGTTCCAGCTTCAGGAGCCTCAGGATACCAGCAGTAATCCTACCCATGGCATCCACCTCTGACTTACACAAGAATGCAAGATGTTGGAGCTCATCTTTGGTGACAACAGCCTGAATCTGCAATACAGAAGAAAACCATGATGATAGCGGGGATATTCTTATGAATGATAATAGCAATGACCAGAGAGCTAAAGCTCAATGAAAAAGTAAGTACCGGTTGCTTGACAGAGAACTTGACGTTCTCTGCTTCCCACTTGTCCATATGATAGTCATCATCATCGTCATCAACATCTTCCTCTGGCATCACCAAACTAACCTCGATATCTAACCCTCCAGGTGACCGTACAACTTCTCCATTTTCAGAAACTCTAACATGTTTTTGAGAATGTGGTTTCAGTATCTGTAACCCTTCCACACTAACCTACAAGAGATGTAATGTCAATACAGTGAACGAGAATATAAGAACAAAATTGATGGATTCTCGTCGAAGGTAACAAGGAAAAGGTTATGCATGACATAAATTAACATAGCAAGCTTCAGTAACCTTCGTATTAACTATAGTTAGGCAATGCTAATACAGTGAACGAGAGTATAAACAGCCCCATCCCCTCCCCCTTCCCTCGAAGACAATAAACTATAGGAATTAATGGATTCAGTTCCACACCCATTTAAACTTCGTATTATATTAGTTGGATTGAAGCAGTAACACATCAACCAAAACAAGATTGACATCCAAAGCTGGTTGGAGCATATATCGAGGAGTACAAGACAACAACATTAGACAGAAGAAAAAATGGCACACTTGGAGCAAATGCTTCTTTTACGACATTTTTAACTGAATACTTGCAAATCCTGCAATAGTGCTTCTGCTTCACTGATCATCCTAGCAAAAAACTCATATACTACAAGACTAAAGCTCCCTGTGAAAGAGAAGATATATGAGAGAGAGAGAGAGAGAGAGAGAGAGAGAGAGAGAGAGTACTTACTGTAACTAAATCTACAGGATATTTCCGCAAATGTGTATTGCCTTCACCACGTAGCTCGTTCTTCATACTACTCTTCGCTTTCACCAGAAAACTCTGGAAAGTAGTGTGCCAACTCCTCTGCTCTCTACATAGATTATCCTGGTCAACAAATGACGACCCAACTGCTAATTCTCGTTCACCTTCAAGAGCAAATAACCAGTCTTTGAATTCTACACGCACATCAACATCATCTGGCATTCCAAGCTGCAGCAGACCAGCTTCATTATCACACCCCAAACTTCCATCTGCAGAAGACAAACGTTTGATCATTGAAACTCGGGTTTCACAGGGCCAAGGTGCCAGCAGGGCATATAAAACAAATGAAATTTTTTATATCCGAACCTTCTCCAACATCCTCAGCAACAAGAGGCGAAGCTTTGAAAAGTTTTGATACTGGACCCGTTGATAAATTCTTTAATCCTCTAGATAGCCCCACCCCAGGACCACCATCAGGCCCAAGTATCCCAAACCGATGCAGCAGGGACTCACAATAATCCATTCCTCCACCAAGACGGAGACCATAAATGCAGGCTGATACTCCTAAACTATGGCACTCTCTATCCTCTTCACTGAAAGGAATCATATGTTCCATGCTTACATCTAGAAAAGGAACCACAGAAAATTTACCGTTGGATTTCGGCACGGTCTCCTTATTTACCCAAAGGACAGCTCTGAGATCAGGGTATCCATTAACACTTATTAAATGGCCATTCTCAACAGTGCTCATCATTGACTCATCTTCAGTCTCTACACAGTCTATCTCAACACTCTGCCACTGTAGAACTGACGAAACAGCAACAGCACCGCCAAGGGTTCTATGAATAACTTTAATGAAGAGACCATCCCCAATGAACTGAACAAGAGGCTTTCCCTCAACTTTTATAGTAGACGATTCCAAAAATCTAAGTTGAAGTTCGTTCACTCTCAAGCTAACTGCAGTATCAGCTGGAACCTTATCCATTAGCCTTTGGCTTGTCGATTCAATCAGACCTCTATTTGCTTTACTTTCTTTGCCAGCCAAGGCAATCTTTTCACTAAATCTTCCGAAGTATGTATACAGATCCAGGACGAAAAATAACTGCTCAACAGAAGTGTTTGATATATACTGCTGACAAGCTATCCCTATCCTCACAATACCACCAGGAGGAGGAATGTTTGTCAGTGGGCTCCCATCGGGGGATACCATAGCCACCTGAACTGATCCCTCTCTTAGTTCAACACATCTCCACAGTTCTGAAGTCGGTCCATCAGGTTTTGGTATCTCGGATAAGCTAGCAATGGTTTCAAGAGATAAACTAAGGCATGAGGCACCAGCAGTCCATTTTTTCTGGCTGGCATCAATAGGTTGACCTGGCCAAAGAGAAAAACATGCAGGATCCTTCTCAAGGTTCAGGAGCCTAAGTTTTAGAATAGGAGACTCCGAGAAGAACATGTTTTCTATGTAAAGCCTTGCTCCAGTAAAGGAACCTTGGCCACCAGAGCTACCATCATTTTCAGGAGTATTTGAATCACTCATTTGTAAGGGAACTGTAAAATCTAATTCCTTCAGCGTGAAGTTCATGGAGTTCACTGATATCTCAGGCAAGACATCCCCAGGGTTGACAACAATACCATCCGCCAGGAATGAAGATATCCTCAAACATGATTCTTCTTGAAGGTAAATCTATTTAATCAATAAAACAATTAAAAACGGTACCGAGAATAAATAGTGTAACAGAGTGTAACTCTGAGATTGAGAAATCATACAGTGAGAGGCTGGCAAACAATATGAGTCTGAGAAGCAAAAGAAGGAGGGACTGGGGAAGGCTGGACTTGAAGAGAATGTAGGGAAATCAAAGGAGTGCCTGCACTCAATTGCCACTGCTGCTCTTCAAGAGGATATATTGGAGGGCAGAAGTTCATAGCTGTCAACAAATTTCAACATTAAGTGTCATGGCTAAAGCTATAAATAACTGACCCTATTGTGATAGTGGGTAGATTAATAATACCAAATGCAGGAGGCTGCGTAACATTTTCAGCAGTAGCCAATATGGATGGTTGTACTAAAGTACATGGAGGTCGGCAAAATGTATCTCTGCGTTCCACCAACTCAAATAGTATTAGGTGCTGGAAAACGAAGAAGATAGTGCAACTGACAATGACGACAGCAAAGGAGGGAACATTATTGCATGACCTTCAAAATTCAGACCACAGTTTTCCTTGCATCATTATACTTTAAACATGAACCATTACATGAATGTTTGAGCTAGAGCTCACATGATTGTTAGAAAAATGTTGATGCTATCTTGGCATATCCACCAGGTACGGAATCTAGGAACAAAGCTACTCATTCTTTTAATTACAATGTAAATTCCCGTAATTCTGGTTTTACGTCACAAAATTCTCTAATAGATAAAAAAAACCTAATCTTCGAGACAGAGTCCCAGCAGGCAGGTCATGAAATGAAGGCAGGGTGCTACGGGTTTTCCATGTAACTTAATGAGGAAAAAGATAGATTCAGAAAGTTTTTGATACAAGGCTTGCATTACAAAAGTAAGATCATATCAGATAACAGAAATTTCCTTTCACCCTCAATGAGAATCCACTAATCTATCAATAGATCATACAAAGCGCATGCCCAACAATCACAGCTACTTTATGAAGAACTTCTATTAAAGAAATCCAGCCAAGCTTACCTCAAGAAGAGCCCTCCTATCATGACCTTGGTCAAGGTTTTGGCAAATTCACCATCAGAAACTGTTGCCTGCAAAAGAATCTTCAAGTAAGATTTTGGAATAATGAACACAACACAATTTTTACAGATCATAACCAAGAACACAGACAATTTTTCCGAAGACATCAGGAATATCAGGGCTCTAGGCCAACATTTCCTAACAAGTGACTTTAGAAACGCATCCCATCAAAGTTCAGAGCAGGTTCCAAGAAGGAAATTATTTTAGGTGCTTCATTACTGCTCGGGATGAGTTAATAACACCTTGTTCTGAACAGGACGCCCTTGGATACTTTTCTCACAAAGCATTTCAGTAATTCTGATTCATACATGATGTGAAACCAATATCCAAGTCACTACAGGAACATCATGATACCTTTCATAATTTACGCACCAACGATGCTATTTAAGCCTAACAAGGTAATAGTTTATCTTTAGGACAAACATCATTGACCGGTTATTGGGTTGTCTTGAGCAAAAAGAAAGTTTAATCGACCATTCCACAAAGTGATTATGCTTCAAAATAACAACTTGGATGAAACCTACCCGTGAAAATAAGAGTGACTGCATCAGAAGTTCAAGCCGGAACTCTGCAAGAAAATTAAACTAGTGAATGATTATTCAGCGACAGAACTTTCCCTCAACAACTATTATCCTTGCAACACAAGTCTGACCCATTCTCTACGACTGTACACAGACCATCTGGGTTAAGTCATCAGGAAACATTTATGCGTACAGAAGAAAGATACTAGTAGAAAACTCTAGGTTGATTATGTACATGGAAATAAAAAGACAGCAATTATCAGAATAGAAAATTACAAACCAGAATCTTTAATGCAGAGAAATATTTGGTCCACCATAATGGATACAAGAGAACATCCTGCTGCTTCAGTGGATGACTGCAATGGTGACATTAGAAGATGTAGTTAGTGTAGATTCATTCAAGAGCCAATGAAGGCACTATGAAAGAACAGGAGAAGCTTGGACCTGCTGGGCTTTCAGATCCACATCCCCTCTGTTAAGACACACATACAACCCTGTGAAGAAGCGGAGGAGGGCACGAAGTCCTAATGACACAGCAGAACATAAAGCATCTCAAGGATTTAGGCAAGATGTTACAAGGTTCGGACAAAAGAATGAGCAACTATCAAATAACCTCATGTACCTGGTTCACTCAGTGCAGGGCAGACAGCTTCTGTAACATGCAGTTGAACCTCTAGACCAAGAGGACAATTTTGGTTAGTCCGCTGGAGTGTGATCTGATGCAAATATTATTGTCAGGACAAGAAAATGACCAGAATTTCAGTTTGATGTGGATAATGTTCATTGTAAGAAGTCCAGAACAATGTAAAGTTCAAGTAAATTCCATGCAGGAGGAAACATCTTACATAAGCCTCGCCTGATATCCCTTCAAGGAATCGTTCTCCACCAAAGAAAACTCGCTTTGCACCATCATCATCTCTCTGGTTCTTTTTCTCCTGATAGTGTTCTATACTGGCTTCAGTGAACATATCTGGATGAGGCAAGAGATCGATAGATAAAGATCCCCATTCCAGTTTCTGTTGAGCAAAGATAACTGGCAATATTAGATATTTAAAATAGGAGCTCTTCAAAACACACAAAATTTGCCCCAAAAAGAATACTAGAAAATCTTGAACAGAATGACCGACCACAACTAATAGAACCTGCCTACATTAAACAGGGAAGGATATGTTTGCTTGCTTCAGCAGCTTCCATACTACCTTGAAAACATATATGAATGTTTTGCCATTGCAGAAGTCGCGTGCATCCTTGAGATTTACTACCTGTCATATGGGACTGTCTGGTCAATTGGATTTGTTAGGGAAAGATTCCATCAAAAGGCATGGCAAGAAAGTGGTTGAGTACCTCCCAGTTTTCATTAGTGGTATAAAGCACAAGGTTACGTATGGTGATAGATGCCATTGGTGGAGCCCTAACAAGCAAGTGAGAAAAGAATGTTAAGAGTTTTAGCAAATTGTCATTCAAAGTTTAGTTTTGGCCAAAAATGAGTACAAAATGAGCAAGGCATGGACAAATTCGTTCAAGAAATAATAAGAAGGAAGCTACAAATCCAAGTCTGTATTGCATATAAAGTGTTCCAGTCATGACAAATAAAAAATGATAAACAACCAAGATCTTACCAAGCAGCTCCTCCCCCTCGACGAGCACCCCCATGTGTCTCAAGTAGAAGATTCACAGTGCTAACCTTGATTGTCATTCCATCTGCAATCTGGCATTAAAGAAAATGAGTTAACATTGTGAAAAGGAAAATCTTATCACATCCAGCATAACAGAAATTCCAAATATTATTCAAAGTTACAACTACACCATCTATTTTAGTAGATAACAACTGTGCAAAAACATCAGAAGAAGGAACATAGATGAAATGTGGATATCGAAACTACTTCTGTACAATTCCTAGGAAATCCAAGTTTCAGGACTTAATCAAGCATTTTCGAAATTTCAAAATTTTAAGAACATAGAGTATCTAGGAAAGTCAAGGCTTTAGGTTAAATATCGGTTGTGGCATCTGCAACCTGTACTACCTTTCTTCGGTCTCTTCTTCAGCAGTTATATCATCAGACATACACCAAAGCGAGCCCAAACAATAACTGGAAATATATTTCTAACGCATTCACTTTACCTTGTCAGCAAAACCGTAGCCACTACTTTTGCTGGTGCTAGAGGAAGATGAAGGACTGAAAAAGAAAGGAAACCAGAAATGTCACACTAAGTAAGTAAAAAGGTGAATCTGAATTTACTCAGAAATTTAGGTGAATTACTCTTGAGTCTTGCTAGAATTATCCCAATCCCGGTTCTCCTCGAAAACCAAATCAAGCTTATCGATTTGCACGACAATTGGTTCAGTTTGCACATTGCTCACATAGGGTAGCTGAGGGAAAACATGAATTGCCAAGAGATACACAGATTAGTTCGAGAAGCATATGTAGATCAATAAATGCAACAACCATGGGATAACTACTGATCAGAATATACAACAATACGTTGCTAAAACATCAAGCAGACCACAGAAAGAAGCCTCCCACCACTTCCCAACTTCACTTGGAATTTCCCAAAAGAGCAACGATCCCAATTAAGCGAGAATCAGAGATCCAGGGAATAAAAGAGGAGAAGGAGAAGGAAGGGAATACTGACAATAATTTCGAATTTCCCGACTTTTGCCTTGGTCACATTAATCGCCGGTGGAAGTCCCATACTAGCGTGCAAGGCGTCGCCGTTGATATCTAAAACCACAGAGTTTTAACATAGAGAAACTTCAAAAAAATCAGCACCAATTTCACCTCCATTGATGTGGTAACAAGATCACAGCGTAGAAGGATGCAGAATTCACGACACTATCGAGGAAGGGGGGGTAAGGATTCAAACGAGATCAGCAATTTCTGACCAATACAAACAGTGGGAACAAGAGAAGAAAGAAACAGTAGAGCTTGAATCTCCACAAGAAAGCAAATGTGGAAACCCAACCTAGATTGGAAAGCTGGACAGTGCGGCCCTGAAGCTTCAACTGGTCCCTGGAGAAGGATTTCAGCCAGTACTTGAGGGTGTACTCCAGCGCCCGAGCTAGTATTGCCTCCATCGCCGGTTGTTTCAGTCGCAAAAAGGCGGGGACGGCGAGAAAGGAGCGTATTGCGGAACTTTTACAGGGAAGACAAGAGAATTTCCTGCTTCCGGCGGCAACTTGGACGATACAGAGACAGAGGGAAGGGATCGGAAGGAAGGTTTTAGATGAAGAAGAAGAAGAGGCGTCGTTGGCTGTGATAACGAGAGGAAAATCGGAAAGGACACGAAGGAAAGGTGGTCTGTAGTGTTGTGTTTACTGTTTAGTGTGGACTGGAGAGGAAGAGCACGTGGATGGAGGACGGCACGTGCGAGGCGCGGAGGGTGGTTTGGTATGTGCGAGTGAGCGGGAGATTTTGGATTTTACTTTTTTAGTTATTTAACGGTGGACTGGTGGTGCATTGGATCACCGGGAATGGAGTGCTCTTTTGTCAGAGGTGATTAACGTTTAGCTTAATATCGTCATGACAAACATAGACACTTAGACAGTGAGGTTAGAGATGTTGTTTAGCTATGTCTTACTCTATTCTTGTTTAGAATTGAAATTAAAGTTTGTATATTTATGACAACAAGTAGAACTACAATACAGGAGCTACGCCCAGATTGTCTAGAGTTCCTCGCAACAGCCCCAACTCTAGCAATCTAGACTCTTTAAACTGAACCCAATCCAAACACTCCCAAAGAACTGACCCGTTCTTACTGAGTAGAGGAAACTGTTGCAGACACTGGCGGACTCAGAAATTTTACATAGGAGTGTCCTCTTTTAAAAAATAAATTAAATACAAATAATTCTAAAATAATTAAAAAAATAAATAATATTTAAATAAGAAATACCTTACTCATACAGTCATACAGCTTGAAAAAATTCACGATGTGTTTTCATATTAAAAAATGATTGTAGAACACACTTGGGGTCTACACTGTTCAAAAAAAATTTGTCTTTGTATATCATATTAGACAATCATTCACGAACTGATCACATATTCGATTTCTAAACTTGTTCTTGATGTAATCCAAAGCTGAAAAGACTCTTTCAACACTTGTCGTGCAACCATAAATCAATACAAATTAAGGGTAGCTTAAAATTTGTTTAATTGTTCGATTTTGAAAATAATTAGAGATAGAGAATGACATTATACTATTACACAGTGTCTAAAATCGAATAACATATGAGTTGTAGCCTAATGAAAATTATGTTTATTAAAATAAAAGTGTCCTAGGTTTGAATTACCCAAACATTTACTTATATTCTCATACTTAAACTAAAAGATGAGAGTAGGATAATCACTTTTTTAAATTTAGGGGTATCCCCGACTATCAATTATATTTTTTTGTTTGTCAATACGTAAATTACCACCGGGGGTTGGATAATCGTTTTCCCAAAATTTAGGGGTGTCCCCAAACACCCGTGGGTCCGCCCCTGGTTGCAGATCCACTTCAATGAAAGGTTTTTAAATAAAGTCACAGTGCTCTTCTTCAATCTCTCTCATCTTCAATGAGGTTATCGTTGACAGAAGCATCGGATGAAGTATTGATATATTGGATGTCATCGGGAAGCTCTTTCTGCTCGATGTTTTGATGATGATGAGAATGGGGAATAGAGATGAAGACGCCAGCAGGGATCTTGACGCAGACAAAAGGATGATAGTTGCTGAGATGGGCTTTTGGGTGATTGGACTTTGTGGATTGGCTTTGTGGTTCAGTCAAACGAGATGAGTCAAGACCCAACAATCTCCCCCTGCGTTCAAGCCTACATTCCTGTTACAAGTCAAGGCATTATCAAGGCATCGAGTTGTGTAGTCATATCAGTATCAAAACCTGGCATTTTTATTTCTTAAGTTGCGCATGGATCATAACATATATAGTAACAGACTCATTGGCAAGACAAGACCTCAGCAGAGACACCACACTTAGATCTTTATGATCTTTTATTCTGGGACACACATGATAGACCATTATGGTCTTTGAAACAATACTAAAGAGTTCACAGCAAGACTAACAATACTTAAGAGAGCACAACAAGACTCAAAAAAGCAGAAAGACACAGAGTTATTCATATTCTCCTTATTTATATGATTCCTTCTTCAGAGTTTGTCTTCCGGCAGACAGTTTTTCTTTGGCTCCCCCTGAGTTCCAGCCACTCCTTTCATCATATCCCTCTCAAGATCTTTAGCAAATAGTCTGATGTCTTTTTCAGACACAGTTTCAGGTTCGAGTTCAGCTTCTTCTTCTTCAAAAGAGACAATAAGGTTTTTGTGAACAGATGAGGATGAATCCCCAAGTTGCAGAGATTTTGACTTGTGTTTAGTAAGTCTAGCAGCTGCTGAATCAAAGGATTCTCCCCCTTTCGAATGCTGAGGGTCAACACCAATGAAGTTCAGGATAGTGAGGTATGAGACAGAAACTGAGGTTTCTATAGAGGAGTATCCATCAAGGGAGATACCAAGATTGGAGAGTAAGAGGGTAATGAAACCTCCATAAGGAAGACGACCACCAAGATGAGCATCAGCACTTCGAACAATGGTCCAAAAAGCAGTTGGGAATAGTCTATTTTGCGGCCAGTGAGGGCATTGGAAAGGACCCAGAGGTCAAGTTTGGTGACAATATGAAGGCCCTTTGTGCGAGGTAAGAAGAAGTGGGTGATGAAATAGTTGAGGGTGAGCAGGGTGGGATTCAGATTAGTAGAAGTGATGACTTCGTTTGCTCCAACTCGACGTTGAGTGATGCGAGAGTACTCAATCACATGATCAAAGTCATAGAACAGAAATTCATCCTCTTGAGCCAGAGGAAGGAGTCCTCCAATGGGAAGGTTCAAAAGAACACCAAGAGCCTCAGCGGTGAGTGAGATAAAATAGCCATTTACTAGAGTGGTGAGTTTTCTGGTGGTGATGCCTTGACAGTCAAGGTTTGCATAGAACATCTGAACTGGAAGGGGGCATGCAGCAAGGAGTGGATAGTGAAGAAGGAATTCCCAACCCAGGTTCCTAATGAATGGGGTAATGTCTATCCCTGAGGCTTTGAATTCATAGAGATCAAGGGTGATGGGATCAGAAAGTCTGCGAGAAGCAAAGAATTCTTTGAATCGATGCAGGTTGAATTCAATAGGCTCATTGAAGGTTCGCCCAACATAGGTGACAATTGCACCGGGAATGTTGGATGAGGTAAAAGGCTCAGTCATGATGATTATGATTAGCAGAACATGTGAGGTGAAAAGGAGTCAGGGAAGAAGATATATATATTAGGAGGGCAGAATACTAAGAGCAGCAGTCAACGATTTTGGAATTCACAAGGCATAGGAAAATCAACCAACACATTAATGAACTACCAAGTAACCGAACAATACTTCTAATATAAATGCAACACTTATTGAACTTTAAAGAAGGATATAAGTAAGGAAGGGCAGAAGGATATAAATGCAAGATAGGAATTTTGTCAAAATAAAGACCATAGTATGTAAGTTGATATTTTAACCATAGGATTTGTGTGCAACAACTCTCAGCAGCAACATATTCTGCTTCTGCTGTTGACAAGGCTACAGATCCTTGTTTTTTACTTGACCAAGACACTAGAGAGCGCCCAAAAAATTGACAAGTACACTGGTACTCTTTCTATCAGTAATGCTACCAGTAAAATCAGAATCAGAATATCCAAGCAGAGACAAATCCTCAGACTTAGGATACCATAGTCCAAGATCTTGAGTACCCTTTAGATATCTAAAGATTCTTTTTACAGCTGTCATATGACTTTCTTTAGGTTGATTTTGAAATCTGGCACACAGACAGACACTGAACTGAATATCAGGTCTACTAGCTGTCAGATACAACAGTGATCCTATCATTCCTCTATTCTTTCTTTCACAAACAGGTTGCCCATCTAGATCATAATCTAGATGAGTATTTGATGCAATGGGGGTTTTACAAGGACTAACACTCATTAAGCCAAATTTGGACATTGATTGAAGATATTTGGTTTGATGAATAAAGATCCCAAAATCAGTTTGATGAATTTGCGGACCAAGAAAAAATGTTAATTCTCCCATGAGGCTCATTTCAAATTGATTTTTCATGGAGGAACAGAATTCAGCACACATGTCAGGATCTTTGCTTCCAAAGACAATATCATCCATATAAACTTGTACAATCAAAGAGTGTTCATTTTTTATTTTAATAAAGAGAGTTTTGTCGACCCCACCTTGAGAGAACCCTTGTGATATAGAATGGATGTCAATTTTTCATACCAAGCTCTGGGAGCTTGTTTAAGACCATATAGAGCTTTGGAAAGTTTATAAACATGGTCTGGAAATTCAAAGTCAGTGAAACCAGGAGGCTGCTCAACATACACATCCTCCTTTATTTCACCATTCAAGAAGACACATTTTACATCCATTTGAAAGAGTTTAAAGTTCATAAGACTAACATAAGCACAAAGAAGACATATTGATTCTAGTCTAGCTATTGGGGCAAAAGTTTCATCATAGTCGATGCCCTCCTCTTGGTTGTATCCTTGGGCAACAAGGCGAGCTTTATTTTTAGTAATGAATCCTAATTCATCAGATTTATTCCTAAAAATCCATTTATTCCCAATGACAGTCATGTTTACATGTCTAGGTACAATTTCCCATACCCTTAGTCTGATGAAATGTGACAATTCCTCTTGCATGGCAAGCAACCACTCTTCATCAAGTATAGCTTCCTTATATTTTTTTGGTTCAAGCAAAGATACAAAGGCATACTGACTTGGAGTGTGCTTACCTCTGGTGTGGATAGGATCTGTCAGTTTACCTATGATTTGTGAAGGAGGGTGCCTTTCTCTTATGTGGGCAGGAGCCTCAAGGTTTTCAGTCGAAGCTGTCTCAGGAGAAGCTACTGATGAGTTGGGATTGTTGTCAAGAGATTCCTCATTGATGGATGTTTTTCCTGTCTCAAGAGAAGAGCTAAGAGGCAGGAAGTCATAGTTATTAATATCATAGTGCAAGGGGAGGGATGGATGGGATGAGTCAAATCTAATGTGAACTGACTC